AGAGTACAGGAGATTCATCTCATTACCACAGGCTGGACATATTCTCAGTGGTAACTGCATGTTGGTAAGCATTTCTCCATGTCCATAACAGACATTTAGGGGTGTGGTTCAAATTTTTTTTTTTTTCATGAGTTGCCAGGCATGATTTTTCAGAAATATGCATATGATACAGCACTATCACCTCTGTGGGTTATTTCTGACACTGAAGGAAATAATATTGCATGATGTCCCTGCCCATGTCAGAGAGATTGGATTAGGTGAGATTTAAAGGTCTGTTCAAGGCAAACCCTTCTGTGATCTGTGTGGCTCTCTGAATGGCTGTACTGGGTGAGTCCAGACTCTCACACCCAAGCATTTGTCATCATCCCACTCTCCCCAGACACCCAGCCTCTGCATGACATTCCACTCAGGTGGTGAAGCCTTCTAGAGAACAAACCACCTCAAGGTCATGAAAAATGTCACAAGAATGGAGATAAAACAACTTAAAATTGGGAAACTGTACTGAAAATGACAATGTGTTCTGTGTCCCTCCCAGTAATAGGAGACAGAAGCACAAGCACATTCCTACTATCTCTATATGAAGCCTAAGAAGCCTTTGGCCTTCTCAGGTCTCAGTGACCTATTTGTACCCCCACGTGGAGCCTGTAATGGTCATGGGACAGAGCAGATATCCTCTTCAACAGGGATCCCCTTGCACACCCTGCTAGTGAGCACTGGGAGGCTGGAGAGAGCTCAGGGCTGCTCAGCTCCTGCTGCAGTAGGAAAGCTCCTGCCTGGAGAGCAGGCTCAGGTGCCCTACACAGACAGAGGTGTCTCCTTGAGTGTGGGGACAGGTCACTGCAGATCCTCCTCAGGTGGTCAGAGTCTCTGATGCCCAACAAGGAATTGAGATGTGCTCAGGGCATGGGGGGCACCAGGAATGAGCAGGATCTGTATGGGTGTGTCGTAGTTTAGACAGTCACAATACAAAGCAACACTTAATTTTCAGAAGGCTTCAAACTGTTTTTATTCTAGTTTGCATGCTTTTTATACACTCTTACAAAACTCCTAAGTTTACACTTTACTTATTGGTCACAAGAGACAAACAAAGTGCACATTGGAACAGGCAATTGCAGGTTTCTCTTATTTATTCTTCTTTCTTTCTTGGTTTCTATGTCAACGACCTCAGTAGAAAATTCTTTCAGGGGTAAACATGGATCCTCTTCTCAAACTTCTCTCTGGCTCACAGAGGTCACTATAAAACCTCTTCCACACGGATGTGCTGCTTCTCTGGGCACACATTACAGCTAAGGTGGAAGGAAGGCAGTCCTGCATGTGGGGGGTCACTACTGTTGATTAATCTGCCCTACTCCAACCAAATCAGCTTGGTGGGTGGCTGGTGCCCAGACCCTGATAAACTGTGGTAGATATTCCATAAGATACAACCTACACACATCTCTTCATTGTTTATATACACATTTGATGTGTTATCAGCTCTCTTAATGCCATGTCACCCAGGGAACAGACTTGGTGACAAGCAGCTGGGCTTGGGCATGCTTCTCAAGTTGTCTTCCTCTCAATGACAGTGGGTGAGACTCAAGAGTGGCACAGCCCAGCTCACAGAGCAGTGGGGAGACAGGTAAAGCAGCAAACTTTCATTTGGGGGTGAGAACTCTCCGCTGAGTATCCGGGCTGTGCTGTTAATCAGACTCCTCATGTTCCCAGCAAACACCGGCGGAAGAGCTGGCCTAGGAGGTGACATTCAGGATGTCCTTTCTGTCACCCACCACAGCAGCTGAGGAGCTCCTGTTACACAGCAGGGGAGTGGGGTGGGCAGCCCAAGACGCCTCCGGGTAAGACAAAGTCAAAAGAAGGCAAGTGGCAAAAGGGGGAGGGAAGGAGAACGAGGATTAGGTGCATAATATTAGCACAAGCAGCAACTGTGGCCTAAAAAAGACAGCAATGAGGTGGTGTCTTCCTCAGTTGGCACTCATTTGGGACAGATGCACAAATCCTACTTCTGGGCAGATTTCAGTTCTGTAAATGGAAATAAACTGGTATGGAATTTCTATAAATCTGCTCACTTTAAAAATTAGGCTTTTCAAGACTAAGACAAGCCAGTGGATTGCCACAGAATTTTCTGAGTGACACTCACTGTAGTGACACTGCCAACAGGATACACAGCAGACTTTTCTAGTGACACTTCTGAAATAACTTGTTCTTGCAGAAAAGTTCCTTTTGTATCCTTAGGAAATTTATTAAGGGTTTCATTATTTGATATTGGAAGACAGATTCCCTTGTGGGTCAGTCTAAACATTTCTTTAATTACTTTCTGCGTTCATCTCATGTGCCAAGGTAAGAATACAATTTGCTGCTCCTGAAGCACAAATCAGTCGTACGAATCAGAACAGCTCCAGGGTTTTTTTTTTTTTTTCCCTTGGATGATCCTACATAAAACATATGCCACAGGATGGGCCCAAAAAGGGTGACAAGCCAGGTTCGTGTGAGCCACAGCAGCAGCTCAAAACTTGGACCACTCTGCCAGAGAGAAAAGCAGCTCCTGAGGCTGCTGGACCCCTGCCTGAGCTACCTGCCCTGCCTGGAAAGCTGAAGTGAGGTCTGGATATTTGGGGCTTCCAGGCTCCACCTGCGAGTAGTCCCTGAATTCTTCAGGCCTCTGGGAAGGTCTGGATTTTCACTCTGCCCTCCCAGTACAGCTTGTGTTCCCAGGTTTGGGAAATGCTGCCTGAGGATTTGTTCTCTGCAGTGCAGACAGCTCTGCTCAGCACTTACACCTCCTCAGCAGCAATGAAACAACAGAATAAATACAGAAAATTATTTCTTCAAAACTAAAATTAGGCTTTAAAAAGAATTTCAGAGATGGTGTATGAGTTAGTAGTTTGCAGATTATCACTTTAGTGTTTCCCAGCATTTCCCCTCAGATTTCTCCTGACCTTTCATCCAAACCTGTGCTGAGTTGTCATTTCTTCCACCCCCACATCCTCTACTATATTATTACTTATTTATTTTCCTTGCACAAATCCATCTTGATTTTCTCCTCCGAGACCTTTCCTGAACTCCCCAGCACTGTTTCAACCCCACCTGACTTCTGTGGTTACTCTTCCACACTCACTCTTAGCAACTTTTTTCTTCAACAAGAGTCAGAATATATCAAGTTCAGCTGGTCACATGTCCTGCATTAGGGTCCAGCTCTATTTGATCTGAACATGTTCAACAGGCTGCTCCTGCTCCACTTGGCTACAAGGGGACAAGACTTTCTGCAGTGCTGCTGTTCCTGGAGCCTCTGCTTTCCTCACCAGGGAAGGGATTCACTAACTGGGGCCTCTTGCTGATCTGCAAAGCAGAAGATGCTCTTCAGGCTCCACAGGCATTGCGTTTTTGTTGGTTTACAGAGAAGGGATGCCCCATCCAGCCCAAGGAGCCCTGGCTGACTGCTGGAAGTACCTGGGCAGCTTCTGTGCTGCTACATCCCGGTAGGGAATGGCCATGGCCACGGTGCTGGCCCCTTTCTGATGTTTAACCTTTCAGCTGGCAATGGAGCTGTGCTGCAGTGAGTCTCTCAGGGGTAAGAATAGCAGCTGCTGCCTTGGGACGCAGCACACGTGTCCAGCTCCTCCAGGGCAGCACGTTGCAGTGCCACAGAGAAGGCAGCCTACCCGCCCAGGAATGTCTTCAGGCACTATTAGTGGAAGCTGATCACCCCCACAAACAGGCACGACCCCGCACAGGAGTCTTAGGAGACTGGGGCTATTTTGGGCTTTTGACATTGAGCCCAAAATGTGAGCTTTAGACACGTGATGGGCTGATCCTCCTGCCATGGGCCTCCTCCAAAGCTCCTTTCGGCCCTGTCCTCTCCTCGAGCAATGGCTCTTGTGGAGGCTGAGGGGCATTTTGGTGTGGCCTTGGAGTGCAGAGGGAGCTGTGAGTTTGCTGGGGGGCAGGGTCATCCCTCAGTGCCATCGGCAGTGCCCAGCTGTGCTCAGGACAGCTCCTGCCTGAGAGTGTGCACCTGTACCTGAGCTCAGGGCATGGGGCCTCCTGCTTTATTCTCAACCACACCCATGAGAGTGAGAGAGGTACCAGAGTATTGTAAGGCTCCAAACAACTTGCTGAAAGCCTGCATTGAAACACTAATCCTTTGCATCCAGAAGGGTGTTTGCTTCTTTCCACCTGAAGCTCTCCATTTCTTAGTAGTTCTTCAGCACCAGGAATGTTTGAGTGGTCCATTTTCCTATTCCGAGCCATCACAAATTCCCTCCCCAACTTATTCCCATCCTTTTAAGATCCTCTTTCTGGTGTGGATTTCTTTCATTCCACATTTTTTTATGTCTCATTTATTTCTGTTTAATTTACCTAGCTTTGTGAAAGTTTCAGTTATTTGCCAGCACTGAATCCACCACACTCATTGGTGTATTGGCCAGAAAATCTCAAATTAGCAAAGGAAAACTACTACACTGTGGCAAGAGCAAACAGCAAACTTTGTCCCAAAAGCAGGGATGAGGGCTGGGAGCATTACACGACAATGCCATGTGATGCCTGGGTACTCTGGAATCAATAATGACAGGCTGGCAAGGGTTACCATTCTTACCTAGCAGTTAGTAATTTTCTGTTGATTTTGCACAGCTACTCCTGAGCAAGTTAACAACTGTTTTTCAGCAGGTTAATGAAGTAGAGTGGTGCACTGAGTAATCAATTGTTTGACATGGTGGGCTGGGGTCAGTGACATGGCCCAGGAGCACAGCAGGACTTTGGATTGAAGCACAGCACTGTGTCATGAGCTGCTGAGAACAAGGTGCAGCAGCTCTCCTGAGAATGTGCTGCTTCTAGGCTACAGGAGCTGGAACAGAATTCCTCCTTTGGAAAAGAAAAAAAGCCTGTCAAAATCTCTAGGTTTTAAATTCAGGATAAAATTGGTCTAAGTGAAGTAGTAAGACTCAAACTCACACTTTTGACTATAATTAACTTGGTGACAAAATGAGACTCTCATTTAAACATTCACATTTGGAGCATTTGAGCTTGCAGATATGTATTTTATTGACACTGGCACAGCAGCAGCAACAGAAAATGTTTTTGTTCATAAACAAAGGGAAAATTACTTCCACAGCTGGAGAGGTACTTTGTGGAAGTTCCAGTTATCCCAGAGGAAGCTCATTTTTCAGTTCCTAACACCACCTAGGGAGGAGAGGCTTTGTTTAGTCTACACATGCCAAGATGAGTCTTGATCCCCCAAATCATCCATCTCAGTTCACCATCCAGCTAGGATGTGCAAGTGGAGCCTGAGCCAATGCAGACATGTGTGGAACCCTTAAAACCACTGTATGAGCTGAATATATGCAGATAACACCAGGATGGCCACCATCCACAGCTGAAGCATGGAAAAAAGATTAATTCCATTGTTTCACTGGCAAAAAAATGAGGACACATGAACTACTGAGCTTATTCCATCTTAACAACCCAAACAGACTCAGCTTGTCATTAAAAGCCCCTTCCTTCCAGAGCTGTCCTTTCCAAATGATGCCTGTACAAGGCACAAATCTGCTGCTAGACTCACTTGAGCAAACAGCACACCTGCAGTAAAGCCTTACCTTTGTAGCAGAGCCTTCTCTGGCCTTAGCTCTGAGTTTATTTGCTTGGCTCTCAGCAATATCTGCCCTTTCCAGGGCCTCACCCATCTTATGCAGTGCATTTCTCAGTTTGGAGAGATCAGCATTGGCTTGTTCACCCTGAAATTGCAAAACAAAATTTTAAAACCATCAGGCAATATCCTGGGGCACAGAGCCAACTTTTAAACTGGCAGTCCCATGAACTGGTAAATAACTATTTGCTTCACTTTAGTGACTCACAGCTTCTTCAGCTTGTTTTCTGTAGGATTTGATTTTCACCTGCAGTTGATCTATCAGATCTTGTAACTTAACCATGTTCTTCTTTTGTTCTTCACACTGTGGAAAGAGAATGTGCAATTTTATGTCCTTGGGAGACAAAACATCAGAATATTGCTTTCTATTTTTACCCACCTGAAAAGTGAGCTCTTTGAAACGCCGTTCATATTTGCAGATGTTTTTTATAGCCTCTGAGGATTTTTTATGTTCTTCCTGCAGTTCAGCTTCTAATTCTCGGATCTGGTGAATTAATCAACAATTGGCTTAAGCCCTCACACAGCAATTGGAGAAGAAAGATGTTTCTGACACCCAAGTTCAGTGCTGGTACCCACCTTGGCCTCCAGCTTCTGGATCTCTTTCTTCCCTCCCTTCAGTGTCACCTGCTCAGCCTCATCCAGACGAAGCTGCAGGTCCTTCACTGTCTGGTCCAGGTTGTTCTTCATCCTCTCCAGGTGGGCACTGGTGTCCTGCTCCTTCTTCAGCTCCTCTGCCATCCTGGCTGCCTTGGAGGGGAGATGACACAAGAAACTGGAAGAATGTGAAGGAACAGCACATACTGTGCACCAGCACAAGATTAACTCCTGTGTCCTGCTACCCCTTCCTGCCACCCCACTCCCTATTTTGGTTTTTTGTCCATCACATGATAATGGCAAAAACATGACAAGAAATACTAGGGAAAAGGATGGGAAAAGTCTGCCTTACTGCACACAGAGCTGGAGTGTCAGAAAGGGAAAATGCTCTGTCCCACTGTGACCTCACTAACAGCTGGGTGCCAGGGGGAAACTTCCAGAGCAACAGCAGAGTCTGGCAACAGAACATGGCACAGCTGAAAAGCTTCTGTGCTCAGCATCTGGGGTTTGCTGTGCTTTGCTGTGCTTGCCCTGCTACTGCCCCAACCTCCAGGAGGGTAGTGCCACAAAGGCACAAAATAGTTTAAAATTAGCTATGTTATTTAAGGCAAAGTAAGATTTATTTTGCTCTCAAACATTGGATTCCTACACAATATAATTAAACACTTAGGTGAAATATTGAGTGAGATTATAATTAATGTCATAATTTTATAATTATAATTAATGTAGAATTCAACAAATTGCTTTGGCAGCAAAATATCTGAAAAGGTCTAAACTGAAAAAATTTGACCACTAGAAGTTTTATATAAATATAGATGTGTGTATAATTCATTGTAATGTTTTCTTTTTCTTTTATTCAAACAGAATAGAAATCATTAAAACACAGGAACACCTCAACATGAGGAAGAGCTTCTTTCCATGGAGGGTGGCAGAGCATGGAACAGCTGCCCAGGGAGGGCAGGGAGTCTCCCTCTCTGGAGACATTCCAAACCCACCTGGACACATTCCTGTGTCACCTGCAGCAGGTGACCCTTCCTGGACAGAGGGGTTGGAGTAGATCATCTCCAAAGGTCCCTTCCAATCCTAATGGTTCTGAGATCCTATTTAATTATTTTTTTCCTTTTAATGAGCAAGTTGAAAAGTTGTCTATTTTAATCCCACATAATGTATATAAATGTTAAGATTTTGGTTTAATCCTCTGCATCAAAAATCATCAGCAGATTGAGTCCCCTGGCACACCAGTCCTATTGCCTGGCTGAGCTTCACAGGTCTTGCATGGGAGGATTTAGCACCAATTTTGAATGGAAATTTACAATTCTCATTTACAAATGTGATAAATAGGATTTAGCAATGATAACTATTCAGACACCTTAGCCACTTTACTGGTTTCAATACTGCAGGATTTCTTTGTGGATTACGTTTTCAGGCAGCACTGAAGAAAGTTTTTTTGTTTTCCACTCACTAAATGTAGGTTAAGTTCTTTATGATGGAAACAGCCCCATCTGTCAGCAGAACATGTTCCCTGTTGCTCTAATCCTCCTCTGACACAAAGCCTTTTCAACCAGGCCCACAGAAGGTTCCTTGTCCAACATGTGACAAGAATATTTACATTAACCCCCAGCAGCAATGCCACTGGAAGCCTTGAAAATTCAAAGTGAAAACCATAGTAACATCCTCACATCTGTCATTGCCTTCTTAGCTCTTTCTTCAGCACTTTTTCCTTCATTAGTAACATCCTCTATCTCTGTTTGGAGTTGTGCCATATCAGTTTCAAGCTTCTTCTTTGTATTAAAAAGGCTGGAGTTCTGTGAAGGAGAAGGGGAGAGGCTTTGAGTGTCTACACACATAGAGATCAATTCATCAATTCATTCTTCCTCCATCAATCTCTGGACCCCAAAATACATCAATCTTAGCAAAGCAAACTACCTGGGTGTGGAGGAGCTGTGCACGTTCAGTGGCATCCAGGAGCTCCTGCTCAGCCACTTTCCTCGAACGCTCCGTCTGCTCCAGGGCTGCCCGGAGCTCCTCAACTTCAGCCTGCAGCAGGTTTGCTCTGCGCTCCACCATGGCCACCTGCTCCTTCAGGTCATCCTGTGTCCTCAGAGCATCATCCAGATGGATCTGGGTGTCCTGTATTTAAAGAGCCAGTTTTGTCCTAATGAATTTCTCCAATACTTTGCTTTAAAAATAAATCGACCAGAAGGTAAAGCAAGACCTTGAGAGCTCCCTGGATGCTGTGCAGGTTCTTCTGTGCCTCTGCAGCCTGGCGGTTGGCATGGCTCAGCTGGATCTCCATTTCATTCAGGTCTCCCTCCATCTTCTTCTTCAGCCTCAGGGCTTCATTCCTGCTCCTGATCTCAGCATCCAAAACACCCTGCATTGTCTCCACAATCCTTTCGTGGTTCTTTTTTAGCTGGTTGATCTCCTCATCCTTGTCAGCAATCTTTCTGCTGATTTCTGACTTTATCTGAGTCAGTTCTTGGTTGACACCAAGGATTTTGACTTCTTCGTGCTCAAGAGCTGCCTTTAAAAGAAAAAGGGGAAAAACAAAGATGAAGGTAACATTTCAGAGAACATGATTATTGAGGTGATACTCAGTGATTTCACAGAACTTCCTAAAGTTTGTGGCAATCAAACTTGCACACAGCTACTACCAGAAAAGGGAGCAGAAAGCTGCTCAGCATGCTCTTTACTATCTACAGTAATATTTAAACTAGCTCACCTCTGCCTCCTCCAGAGCTGTTTGCAGACCATTTTTTTCTACTTCAGCTTGCTTTTTGGCTTTCTCAAGGTCTCTGATCATTTTGCCATTTGCAGTAATTTGCTCTGTGAGATCAGCTGCTTCCTCTGTGAGAGAAGAAGGGCATCAACCACAAGAGCTTTGTTGCTGCAGTCAGCACCCCTTTTGCACACATAAATATGTACACACAAAATGTACATGTGTACACAATGGTGCACCTGCCTTATGTACAAGCAAAACTAGACACAACCAACTCATGCAGGCCAGGTGGGGCATTGGTGTGGTTTACAGAGAACCTGGAAGGGCCCTGCACATGTTACATCTATGGATAGGCCATCAGGGTCTAAAACTACAGGTCCTGTCATTGTGCTCAGTGCATCTATAAAACTCACTCTCATGAGTTGCTCAGTCTCCCACAGTTGCTACCTTTGCCTGGGAATGGCACCTCAATGTCTGCAGCAGATGACAGAGCCAGGACATTTGCTCTATTGGCTCCATCACTTTACAAACATGCTTGACAACTTTTGGTAAGACACTGACATTCTGCATTAAGATGGAGAGCACAGGAAGGACAGAGTGCTGTCCCTTGGTGCCCTCCTGCAGGCATGAGTGTGCTGGTGGAGCACAGCTTGCTGTGGCTGGTCTGTGAAGGCTGACGGGACCCCAGAGCCAAACACGTACGCTGCAGAGCGGAGTTCTCCCGCTTGATTGTTTCGAGCTGGTCTAAGGTTTCCTCATAGGCATTTTTCACTTTGAAAAGCTCTGTGTTCAGCGAGCCTGCTTCTTTAGAGAGAGCTTCCCGCTCCAGCTGGCTCTCCTCATACTTCCCCTTCCATTCTGCCATGACCTGGAAGACACCATAGAGTCATAGAACGCTTTGGGTTGGAAGGGACATCAAAGATTACCTAGTTCCAAATCCTCTGCCATGGCAGGGACACCTTCCACTATCCCAGGTTGCTCCAAGCCCTCTCGAACCTGGCCTTGGGACACTTCCAGGGATCCAAGGGTGCCTGCAGCTTCTCTAGGCAGCCTGTGCCAGGGTCTAGCCACCCTCATAGGGAAGAATTTAACCCTAATATCCAATTTAAACCTACTCTCTGTCAGTGTGAAGCCATTCCCCCTTGTCCTGTTACTCAGGCCCTTGTAAACAGTTTCTCTCCATCTTTCTTGTAGCTCCCCTCAAGAACTGGAAGGCCACAATTAGGTCACCCTGAAGCTTGTCTTCTCCTGGCTGAACAATCCCAATTCTGTCAGCCTTTCCTCATAGGAGAGGCTATTATGCTTCATTTCCTGCTGGTACTGAAAATGTTATTTGATCTGAGACTACATTTTGTACTAGATAAATAATGCAGTCTCTTAAACCAGGACAAATTCCTACTGCCATGCCCTAGTGGCTCCAGTTAGTTCATCCTGATTTCAGCAATGACTGATGTACAGAGTGTTAGTTTGGCTTTCTGGGAGGCTACACTTGAAAGATACTGTGCTCATTTCGGACCTTATCAAAATTCTGCTGTTTCCTGTCAAGGGCAGCTGCTGATGTGTTTGCTCTCTCTATGTCCAGTCTCAGATCCTCCACTTCCCCCTGCAGCTTAAACTTCATCTTCTCCAAGGAGGCACACTTGGCATTCAGCGTGTCTGCCTGCTGCCCTGCTTCCTGGAGACGCTGAGAGAGCTTTTTCCTTAAGGCACATAAATAAAACAAGCATGTGATTAAAAAAACCATTACACCATGTGTCTCATTTTAATTAGGACTATATACAAACCCCCAAAAAATAATTTAGGTCAGGTTACTAAAAGGGGGTCTGTGTTCTGCCCAATGTACATCTGGGCAGCTCATCTCATCTATTCTGTACTTGGCCTCCTCGAGCTCCTCCGTGCGCTGAATCGCGTCCGTCTCGTATTTGGTTCTCCACTGGGCCACTTCGCTGTTGGCCTTGGACAGGGCTCGCTGCAGCTCTGCCTTGGCCTCCTGCTCCTCCTCATATTGTTCCCGGAGCAAGTCACAGTCGTGGCGAGCAGACTGCAGGGCATGGGCCAGGGCGTTCTTGGCCTAAAAAGGACCCACAATGTCATGTATTTCTGTTAGCTGTGACCAGCAGGAGACCTCGTGACCTTGCACATCTGGAATATGATCACTGCAGAGTGGGCAGAAGACAAAGGGCTGGGGCTTTGTAAGTGCTCAGGAAGCTGCCTTTACCTGTCAGCAACTCTACCACTAGAAAAGACCAAAAGTGGTGCTTTCACCTTGGCATACGTTATAACTTCTCTTCCCTGTGGCTACAGAAGCTAAAGAAATCTCATAGACCATGGCTTTAAAATTTAAAAACATGAAAAAAATTCAATTTTCAGCATGCCTGAGTCATCCTTTGCAAAGAACCTACTGCACACAGTGCTTACTGTACACATCCTTCCCCAGACTAATTTTACTGCCTTGGACTACAGGCAATATTTACAAACTCCCAGAAGTGGTTTTCAAATGAAATGAGCCCCTGATATATTTTGAAGTTTTATCAGGTGCTCAGTAGTTCACACTACCTTGATCTCTTCCTCCAGCTGCCTCTTGAGCTCTTCTATTTGCTGTGTAAGTGCCTGCTTGCTTCTGGACAGCTGCAACCTCACAGTTTCCTTCTCTTTGAGTTGACGGCTTAGTTCACCTATGACAAGAGAGGGTAAGTTCTCAATACTGGACAGATTAAGCATCCTGAAAACACTCATTATTACTATTATTATTATAATTATTAATAGTAGTAGTAATAATAATAATAATAATAATAAGAAGAAGAAGAAGAAGAAGAAGAATCACACAGCACTGGTTACCTTTTCAGTTGTCCCATTATACATCTACCATTGCAGGTATATTTTAATCCTTAAAAATGCTTTTGTTGTTGTTCTTTCTTTATCAAAACTCACCTGTTTCCCTAATTCTAATTGTATCCCTTACTACAGTTCTGATCCACTAGATGCTATTTTTTTTTCCTGAAGAAAAATGCTTTTGAAAATTTGCTGAATTTTCATTTTGAAGCAGCAGGATTTTATGCTGTCACACTGGCTGAATTGACACAAAATGCTGTAGCAGCTTCCCATAATTGTCCTTGTGATGCAAGAGTTAAACCCTGAAGTTTCATTTCATAAGATTTACAGTAATTGGAAAACATTTATGCCATATCACCCTCTGTCTGAAGTACATCTCTCCCTTTTCTTGGAGAGGTGCCTATAGGTTATGCCATGATCTCTAAAATTCTCAGTACTTCCTGTAGCACTCCAATATTGTCTTCTTCAGATTTATCCTGAGCCATTTTACATTTTTTCTCAAATTTTCAGTTTCATTCTAAGATTCCACTTGAGCACTACGCTCAATGACCTTAGAACAAAGGTTAACTAGTCAGACATGAGAGAATCTGTTTGCTACTGAAGGGAAAAAATATCCTCTTAGCACATCTTTGTGCCTTCCTTACCAGACTCTGTCTGGAGCTGGGCTTTTTGCATCACCACCTCATTCACATTCCTCTGGTGCTCCTCAAGTCTGACTTTCATCTCACTCATCTCATCCTCCAGTGTGCGGTACCTTTTTTCCAGAACAGCCTGAAAGAGAATCAGAAAGTGGAATTTGTGTAGGTGTGTGTGGCTGCTGCTCTCTTCACAGAGAGCATCAGGTACAAGTTCTCCAAGGATTTTTCCTGGGAAGGTAGAGAGAACCTCAGAGAAGAAGAGAAAATGATTCTTATCTCTATTCATTGCTGTTGTTGCTTTGCACATGTGGAATGTGTTACAGAGATTGTTTACTTAAAGTGATTTGTTAATTGGACAAGATTAAGAAAGATTGTTCTGATTCCTTGGCTGATTGGGTTAAAGTTGTGTCCTGGCTGTCTGCAGACAGTCACAGGTTTTTCTTTAGTATTTCTCAGTATAGTATCTCTTTAGTTTGTAATTTAGTATAGCATTAGGGTAATAGAGTATAGCTTAATAAAGCAATTGTTCAACCTTCTGAATCATGGAGTCAGAGCACATTATTTCCACTGGGGTCGCCCTGCATCGATAGGTATGTTTGTAAAGTTCCCATCAGACAGAAATATTGGTAATTCCAGTATTTAAGTTATAAAGAAAGATAGTGGGGAGGATACAGGGGTGGCTTCTACAAGAAGCTGCTGGAAGATTCCCCTGTGTCTGACAGAGCCAATGCCAAACTCTGGGCAAGCATTACTCATGGTACTACAGTTTAAAACAAGCAAACAGTAATGATGAAGTAAAGTCTCTTACCTGCAGTTCTCTGATCTTCTTCTGCAAATGAGTACCTGAATTTCGCTGTTCTGCAATTTTATTTTGCATCTGGTTAAAATCAAAGTCTTTCCTGTGAATGAGATGTTTTATTAAAAGAAAATATGTCCAGTTAAAACCAAATAATAAATTATCTACTAATTTGTTTCTCATACTTCCTTAATTTTTCATCTAAATGTTGTTTATCATTCTCCAGATCTACTATGGTTTCCTGTGCAAGTTTCAAGTCTCCCTCAAGTTTTCTCTTTGCTCGTTCAAGGTCCACACATGCTTTTCTTTCAAGTTCCAAAGATCCTTCAGCCTGCAACATAAACATACATAAACATGACTGATGGAACAACTAAAGAATCTGCTCCTTCTCCTTGTGTTGAACATGCTCACGTGGTTCACTTGCTGCTCCAGCTTGGTCCTAGCTTTGGTGAGAGTATTAACTTTCTCCTCCTCTATTTGCAGGTCATCCAGTGCCTGTTGCTGGGCTTCTTGCAGGGCCTTCTTCTCCTTCACTAACTTTGCAACAGTCTCATCCAAACCTGTCACTACTTCAGCCAAATTTTTGACCTGTTGTAAGGCAAAATACTTCAAGGTCAGTAATAACATGAACACAGACAATGAACTTGCTGTTAGACTCCCAAAGAGGCTTTGACCATTTTATGGTCACACTCCACAATCTCTCTGCTTATATATCAATCCTTCAGAAGTCACACAGCAATGCTGAACGTTAATTTTAATGCATTTTTGCATGTTTATGGGTTGGTTTTCCTGCACAACAGAGGTGCCCAGGTTCAATACCAGGCCCATAGATCTCCTTACACAGCAGCATGTAAGCATCCAAGTTTACTGAATATTTACAGCCTATACATCAACACAGCAACTGTTATTAAACATTGCAGAAATAAAAAGCACCTTGTTTTCAGTGGCATGCTTTTCCTTTTCAGCCTTGACCAATGTTAACTCAAGGTCATCCATATCTTTCTTCAGCTCAGAGCATTCATCCTCCAGTTTCCTCTTTCTGGCTGCCAGATCAGCATTCATCTCCTCATCATCTTCCAGCTTTTCCATTACCTCCTTTATTCTTGCTTCCAGCTGGAATTTCAGTTTGATCAGCTGGTCACATTTTTCTTCAGCATCAGCCAAATTTTCGTTTTCCTTTTCATAGAGAACAGAAATGTGTTTCATTATCACACATTGGCACTGACACTTGCATAAATCACCTGCTTATTAAGTGGCTGGTACATGAAATAACAGAATTTCCTTGCAGCCCTGAACGAGCAAACAAAACTGATGTAATCTGAAGAGCCAAAAATGATTTAATTTACTTACAGTTTGTACTTGCAGCTGTAGGTCTTTTTTCTCTTGCACCAGAGCCACCATTTTTTCTTCCAGTTTGTTCCTGGTGGCTTCTGATTTAGCCAGTTCTTCTTTTGTTCTCTCAAACTCTTCCTTCATCATGGCCAGCTCTTTCTCAGTTCCCACACTTTTTAAGAGGGGTTTAAACTTGAAGTACAGCTTCATCCAGGGCCACTGCTTGACTTTCATGAATGCACGGATGTTGTACTGGATGCAGAGGATGGACTCCCTGAAACCAAAGTGATCCATCAGAACTGGGAATAAAGCCCATCTTTGAGCAACCAGACCTGGCAGAGGACACACACCTGTGGTCAAACATTTTTTTCAACTCAAGTCTCCGGAGGTATCCCCTGCACAACGCCTGGGTCCGTGTGATCATCTGTCCTAAACGTTCATCTCTCATCTCTTCCAGGACACCCAGCAAACCTGCCTTGAAGAACACCTGCAGCCAAAGAACAGACACCACTCGTTGCTGGCTTTCATTTCCACACAATGAATGTTTTATTAATGTATGGCAAAATCAAACATTTACCTTAGTGTGTCCGAATTTGTACTGAGTATGATCTATCTCAATGGAAGACAGCAGCTTTTCACACGCCTTCCTGCTATCAATAAACTTTCCTTCTGGGATGACACTGGCATTCAGAAGGTGGTATCTGATAAAATAAAGGAAAAAGCTTACCCATCAGTACCATTCTAGTGCACAGGATGCCACAAGAACAGCTGTCAGTTTGAAGATACAGAGGAAGGCTGAGTCTGACTCACACCTCCAGCCTCAAATAGCAAAGCAGTAAGAAAAGCAGCAAATAGCAGCAGGTCAGTTCAGTAGGTACCAAGGATGTGTTACAGCCCTCACTGAGACTGAAGGCATGGACAGTCTGTTCTCTGGACCTGCTCATTTGTGTCAGTCATTATCACTACTCTAGGGGTCCAGCTGCAAATTAAAAAAAATGGATGGACTTTAAGAGTAGGTAAACTGCTTTTCTGAACAATATCCAGCTTCTCACATTCCTCCTGAACCATGCAACTCAGAATTAGACTTTGGATCCAGCAATGGACTTCCTAATCCTACACTGAGAGATGATTCAATAGCTATTTTCAGCACTGATACACAAATCTGCCCTCCCACATCAATGGCTGGGCCAATGCCTTCAGGTAGTACCCAAAACACCATTTCAGCCCTTCTTAGTGCCCTGCTGTCCAGCACACCCTGCACAGAGTTGTAAGAGGGGGAGTGATTGCTTTGTTCTTAGAGATCTGACCCTACATTTGCCTCTGTTCTAACACAACGAGCAGATGACCCCAGTTGGGTTGCCCTGAATTTATCAACCCTTTATAACACTCTTATTTGCAGCAGTTCCCATGATAAGATTTTTTGGTTGTGGGGTTTTATCTCTAAATGAATCTGCTAAAGCTGTAGTAATGTTAGCATGTAGAAATATTAACCCACTACAAAATGACAAGGTCATGTGGAACTAACTTCGATTTCCTGCTGGAGTCCCTTCTTACTGCAGCTCTATTTGCCAGTCAAGCTTAGCATTTCTTCAAGAAGTAGCATTGGATTTAACACAATTTTGTCTTTATAAAACCATTCTAGTTAGAATTATTTAAACCACATTCTTCAAGCCTCTACTAGATAGCAGTTAAATACAGGATGTGCATCGACCACTCTGTATTTTTGCTGAAACATGCTTGTGCCCAGTTTGAGAATTAAAGCAAAGAATATCCAAACATTCAAATTAACAGGAATGAATTAAAAATAGGTTTTGGCATACAGTATCGAGGAAGGCATCTGGGTGGGCACTGCCCACACAGACCATGCCATTAGATATGTCTTTTACTTTCCACATGTGTTAAATATTAAAATAGTCATTTCCTAATAACTGTATCATGGACTGGTTTAGCAAGGGTCTTCTTTCAGATGAGTTTGGCTCAATGCAAACACAAGAATGTTATTACTGACCTTTGTTTGAAATCCCCATATGGTATCTTGTTAGGAAATCCTTTCCTGCAGATCCGAATGCCCTCCAGAACTCCATTACATCGCAGCTGGTGCAGAACGAGCTTGTGATCCATCAGGCCTGTGACAGAGCAGCATGGGGACACACTGATTGCTCTAGCATTGCTGTTTCTGCCCCTTTCTATTCTATAGTTGATGAATTACCTGGGGTCTTCGTTTCATTGGGAATGATGCAACGCACAAAGTGAGGATGAGTTGTTCGTAAGTTAGACATCAGCTTATTCAGATTTTCCTGCAAAACAGATAAAACAGAGATAATTTCTAATCTCAAAGTTCTCAAAGTTATTTGATTCTGCTGAACAGGAAAAATTCAGAACTTTCTCCTTACTCTTCTAGTGAATACTCAACAATTCTGTGTAGCCGTCAGCAAAATAAATGGCTACTACTGAAGGACTTCCCTTAAAATGAAAATATGGCTGGGGAGCCAGGTGTGACAGTCTCTGCCAGAGAACACACTTACCCGAAAGAGTACAGAGACAGTTTGGAAGGAAGAGCCCTTCTTCTTGGCTCCTTTCTTCTTCCCACCACCTTCAGCTGGAAAATGAGATGACAGTCCAGCTGAGGAACTGCTGCAGATCCCTTTGACAGTGTTATAATTGTGCATCTAACACACAGCACACAAGCACTGCCTCAACGCTGATCCACGTCAGGTGAGAGGTACAGAAGGAAATCCTAAACTGGAAACATAATCCTCCAAGCTTACCTTCATCTATGGAAGCAAAAGTGGCATAAAGATGGCATAAAATTTTCATAGATGACTTCTGGTAGAGCCCCACAACAGTTTCATTCAGAGGGTCCTTGTTCTTCTCCAGCCACCCAGTGATGTTGTAGTCCACTGTGCCAGCATAGTGCACCAGGGAGAAGTGGGCCTCAGCCTTGCCTTTGGCAGGCTTGGGCTTCTGGAAGTTGTTGGACTTGCCCAGGTGCTGGTCATAGAGCTTGTTCTTGAAAGAGGTGTCAGTTGCCTTGGGGAACATGCACTCCTCTTCCAGGATGGAGAAGATGCCCATGGGCTGGGAAAGGGTCTTCACAGATGATTTCTGGTACAGCCCAATGACAGTTTCATTCAGAGGGTCCTTGTTCTTCTCCAGCCACCCAGTGATGTTGTAGTCCACTGTGCCAGCATAGTGCACCAGGGAGAAGTGGGCCTCAACCTTGCCTTTGCCAGGCTTGGGTTTCTGGAAGCTGCTGCACTTGCCCAGGTGCTGGTCATAGAGCTTGTTCTTGAAAGAGGTGTCAGTTGCCTTGGGGAACATGCACTCCTCTTCCAGGATGGAGAAAATGCCCATGGGCTGAATAGAAAAATGGTGTTTTCAAATAAGATCAGTTCAAGGTATAATAATACAGAGTGAAAGACATGCTAAAAATTGAAGTACTGGAGGTATTTTATACAGAATTAGCCTGGAGGAGCAGGTAAGCAAGATTTTTTGTAAACAGCTGGCAAGATACTTAAAAAAACTCATAAGATTTTAATATACAGTTTTGAACTACCCAGACAGTGTGTGGAAAACAAGAGAAGTCAGGCAAAAACTGTACAGTAACTTCTCAGAATACAGTAGTGACTTCTAACTCAGAAGGAACAAAAAGCAAGCAGGCATGAGGCTTTCTGGGATGGATGGATGGATGGATGGATGGATGGATGGATGGATGGATGGATGGATGGATGGATGGATGGAATCAGTGTCTTTTTAGAAGACAGGACACATTCCCAGTCAGTGGATAATTAATTACTCACATGAGTAATATTTAAAGAAACAGAGGAGGTGAAGAGACCTGAAAGCTTCCCAGAGAGATTGTATTGAAGGCACTTAGAGCAAACACTCTCAAGAACCATTTACAGATTCAATTTGTGTGATTGCACAAGATGCTTAAGAAACTCACCTTTTCTATGAGCTCAATGCAGGCAGCCAGGTCCATGCCAAAGTCAATGAACTCCCATTCAATTCCCTCCTTCTTGTACTCCTCCTGCTCCAGCACGAACATGTGGTGGTTGAAGAACTGCTGCAGTTTCTCATTGGTGAAGTTGATGCACAGCTGCTCAAAGCTGTTGAACTAATATTTGAGTAAGTGTGTTAATAGTGTTAAACTGCCTCTGATCAATTGTTTTTCACAGGGATGTCACAGCAGGGTCAGTCAGACTGACCCAAGAGGGTTTTGATAACAGTGTAAAGAATGCACCATAGTTGTCGAGGCTTACAGAAAAGTAGTGCAGTGCAGCACCTGATTGCTGCAGCCTGCATTGGCCATGGTTTGGGTGGCCCTAATGTTTATAAATACAGACTCTGTGGGGAGAGAGAGCAGCTCCATGGCCATGCTTCTGCCTTGTCTCTTCCCCTACAAAGAGGGTGATGATGGATCTACAAAGGCAGAAGCAGCTTCAGACAGATTTTCCCTATTATTGAGGGCTTGCACTGGGGTGAGGAGGAGGAAACGTCACAGAAGACAAACAAACTGAAACAAGCATTTAGAGACAGGCAGAAGTCTGAGAGTACTGCAAACCTCAAAGATCTCAAAGCCAGCAATGTCCAAGACCCCAATGAAGTGCTGTCTTGGCAGCTTGGTGTCCAGCTGCTGGTTGATGCGCATCACCATCCACAGGAAGAGTTTCTCATAGACAGACTTGGCAAGGGCATTCACTGCCTGGTGCACCTGCAGGAAGATGTCCCACACGTGTGTCAGGGCAGCCCCAGAACAAAACACCCCTCACCATGCCCACACACACTGCACTAACAGGCCTTAATGGCCCCGACCATTCTCGGCTGTGACCTGCACCCATTCCTTTTCCTTAGGGAGAGGATGGTCCCTGCTGCTCCTTGATGCTCACCTGGTCCACTGTTTGGCCCTTCAGGACATATTCATTGCCCACTTTCACCCGGGGATAGCTCAGAGCTTTCAGCAAGTCTGCTGAGTTCAGACCCATCAGATATGCTGCTTTGTCAGCCTCTGGAAAACAAAATAATAATTTGAAATACTTTCTTCTTAGCTCACACACGCACAGGGCATTGGAACCAGCCAGAGCTCACTCTGAAACTTGCAACTCAATTGGCTTTACTCCATCCACAAATCTTGACCAACATTCTCCTTCACTTTTCTGAACGGCCTTGTAGGACTGGTCCTCATGACAGAGTGGCTAGAGCAGCCCCAGCTGATGTGGTGAAACACAGGAGGGCACTGTTGATGGGACAACACAGAGTTTTCCCCATCAAGCCACTTCTCCACAATGTCACCCAGGCAGAACAAGTGTGCATGTGTAACCAGAAACTGGAGAACACTACAGTGATGTGCCCCAGGCACTGGGTCCTACAGCAGAGTCATCAGGAACAAACTGGATGCAGAAAGTGCCTCTATTTGATGCAGTAAGATGTGGCATTCACATTCTCTGAAAAAATCCCTTTGCCCAGGATTCTTCTCCTGGGAAGCTGAGAAGCCTCAGAGAAAAAGAAAACCATTCTTATCTCATTTCCATCTCCTGTGTTGTGCTCATGTGGAATGTGTTTGGAGACTGTTTACCCACAGGTGATTGTTCTATTGGATTGTTCCATTGGTGTGAGTTGTTTTGACTCTTTGGCTAATCAGGACCAAGCTGTGTTGAGACTCTGGAAAGAGTCACGAGTCTCATTATCTTTTTAGCATTCTGTATCTTTTCTGTATTCTTTAGTATAGTATAATAAAATAATAAATTAGCCTTCTGAGAACATGGAGTCAGGTTCGTCATTCCTCCCTGCCACGAGGATCCCTGCAAATATAATAGTAAGTTGAAAATCAAACCTCCTTTCTATGTTTATCAAGGAACAATGACATCTCTCCTGGAAGACTCCCTCCATTTCTAGTGAAAAATGGCATGGAAACAGTTGGAAATACTTCTCTCCCAGCCAGGAAGATATTACCTTCTGTGCCATCAGGCTCTGCCTGCTCCTCACGTGGCTTCTGCTTGAATTTCATGTTCCCATAGTGCAGGATCGCCCCCGTCAGCTTGTAAATCCCCACTCTCTCATCAGGGCTGAAGCCCAAAGTGTCAATGGCTGCCTGCACACCAGACAGATCAGCTGGTTTTAACAGTGGTGAGAGTAAATTGAGACTGTAAAAGTCTCTCCTTGCCAAGTGTACTCACATCTGTAGCAACAAGCTCCTCCTGGTCATCGATGCTGGCCACAGAGATCTGCCCTTGGCTGATGAAGGGGTAGTCATAGGGGTTGGCTGTGACAAGGAGCATCTCTGAAAGGCAAAAACAGGAGTGAGAGCCAGAGCCTGACAGGGAAGACGGAACAATGGCTCAGCAAGGTTTCACAAGCTCTCTGGCATCCCAAACTCCTGGTTTTCTATTAAGAGACCAGAAAGACAGAGTAAAGCCTTTCATCTGCCTTCCCCTGGCTGAGCAGTGCTTCCAGTTTAATATGATGAACTGAGAGCTGAGCACTCAGCAGGCACAGAGCACAGGCCATCCACAGAAACAGCTTTTAAGAAAGAGGCTTTCAGATAAGGCTCATTTGTGCTTATCCTCATACATGACACAGAGTGGGAGGATGGGAGCAGGAGCTCCACCTTGGGAAATGTCCTGTGGAGAGCTGGGAAGGATGGGCAGAGTGGACCAAGGGTGAGTGCAGTACCTGGGTGTGTGGCCAAAGGGACAGATGTGGGACATGGGTAGGGAGTGCTGTGGCAGTGGGAAGGGGGAAAAGGTCAGAGGGGTTGCACTGGAAGCAAGAAATAACCTTTGCCCACGTGACGAAAAGCTCAGATGAACAGTTGGTAGATCAGGGTACCTGCCCATCCTGCACCCAGAATTGCTTACCTTTCTATTGAAGATTATTCACAGGATCTGGCACACCTAAGTTGGAATTTCCACACCATGGAGAATAGCAAGGTGTGAGGCAGAGCACATTGGCCACCCCTGCACACAGTTTGTGTTAGAACTTACCAGGGAGGATAAATGGAGGTGGAGCAAAGCCCTAGTGTGACCCTGTTATGCAGAGACACATGTACAGCTTGGGGAACCTGGGCAGGGCAGAGGCTGCAAAGCCAAGGACATAAATCAGCACATGATCCCTGCTCTGCATGTGACACAGGGCATTGTGCCACTGAACCCTCTGTCACTGAGCTGGCACACGGAGGGAAATGCTTCCCATGCTGACTTTACTCAGTGTCACCAGGTGGTGGCTGTCCTTACCAAGCAGTTCAGGCTTCTTATTGGAGAGGATCTGGTAGAAGATATGGTAGCTTCTCTCAGCTTTCAGCTGGAAAGTGACTCTTGACTTTTCCAGCAAGTCTGTAATGTGTATGCACATTTTAGACATTTTTCAGGTTCTTTATGTTCTGGCAAGGCTGTCAGCCCCCCTCAGTTACTCACAGGTCTCAATGTCACCAGAGGCCAGCTTTCCAGAGGTTCCAAAATGGATACGAATGAATTTACCCTGGCAAGCAGACAAAAGTGGTGGTCAGTGCAACAATCTCAGAGTGTTTTTATCTCTTCAGTCTTTGTGACAGCATCACCAAATTGGTCTGGTTAGCTTTGATACATAGATAAAGGGGAACATGTTGCTGCAGCAATGTGAGCATGAAACAGCTGCTAACATATCAGCATTTCATAAAAACAAATAAATTGGTCAGCAAGAACATTTTTCCCAGCCAAGAGGCACACAGTCACAGCTAACAAGCAGGCAAAGGGCATTAGAAACACAGGAGGGCAGAGGGACAGACACAGGATGACTCACAAAGCGTGAGGAGTTGTCATTTCTCACGGTCTTGGCATTCCCAAAGGCCTCCAGCAGTGGGTTGGCGCTGAGGATTTGATCCTTGAGCGTACCCTGCAGGAAAAATTGAATAATTACTGAAATGAGCTATGCAGTAGGAAGAGGTGGCTCTATGGAATGATTACATGTGCAGCCATGTGCACTTCATTTCAGCTCTGCAGTGCTACTGCTGCACCTTCTCAACTCCAGCACCAAGAACCAGCACTGGGGGTAAACAACAAATAACTCATCATCCTCTTGTTCAGAAATTCTCCCACAGTCAGAGTTCTCGGGTGTCAGCCACACAGACAGATGGATCCATGTTAAGGAACTGGAGCCTCTGATTCTTCCTGGGCACCAGTCCTGTTTCAGTCCAGGTAAAGCTACACCTTAGGGGCAGTGGCAGCTCTGGTGGCTTGTATTTGTTGTAGGGGCACATCAGCCCCTGGTCCTACTGCCTTTCAAAGAGTGGCTGAAGCTAATAAAAGATATTTTGAGGTAATTGTGTGTCACCAGTGCTGTCCACAAGGGGATAACATCCTGAGCTGCCCTTCACCAAGCCCTTCCTCCTCACACCTTCAGCTGGGGCTCCTTCTTGGTGGCCGTGTCCCCGCTGGCGGCGATTGTCGCGTAGTACTGGATGACGCGCTTGGTGTTCACCGTCTTCCCAGCGCCCGATTCTCCACTGGAGAAAGAAGGCTCAGAGTGAAGAATAAACTGCCCACCTCTGTTTGGAGACAAAGCTCGAAGTGGCAGATGCACTTACGTGATCAGGATAGATTGGTTTTCACGATCTGTCGGAGGGAAAAATACCTGCAGTCAGAGAAGCTGTAGGGCAAGCGCTGGTTCTCAGTTAGCTGGGACCTGGTGTCCATTGGGGGAATGAAACAAAATCTCTGCAGGCAAAACTGAAAAGGTGCATGGTCTACTCTCCACCTCTCTTTCCCTCCCTATACGCCACTCTTTGTCTTCTCTCCTCCTCCTTTGTTCATCCTGTGCTTGTTTCTGCTTCTGTCTTTTCCATTCTTTACCTTTAATACTCTTAAATATGGGACAGGACTTTATTCAAATAAAATCATGTGTTTTGGTGATAATATTTCTATCAGCTCTGTTCTGGATCTATCTGCTGTTCCTTTAAGCCACATGCAGGTGTGCTTTCCAGATAGTGTGTCCTGTCCTAGTGCAACTGCCCTTTGCAGAGGTCCCTGTTAGGCTGCTTAGCTTAGTACTTAGACCAGAAATACAGATAATGCACAGCACAACAGCACAGCGCTTCAAGAATAAAGAAAATATTTCAGGAGATGGGGAAAGCTGTCTGGAGGTGGTTTTGCATCAGTTAGGGTTTATAATAAAACCAAGCAGGTAATATGCAATATTACCAGATAAAGCACTCTGCAAGAGTTGGCAAAGGTGACTGAGCCATGGCAGTATGGAACGGCGCTTGGCAGAGGCAACACACTTCTGACACACTTTTTTACTCCAAGTCTGGTCGAAACAGAAAAGCTCACCAGTCAGCATGAACTGATAGGCGTTGTCAGAGATGGAGAAGATGTGTGGAGGGGCCTCCTGGCGCTTCTTGCCTCGGTAGGCCAACACCACCTCGGGGTTGTACACCGGCAGCCACTTGTAGGGGTTGACAGTGACGCAGAAGAGACCCGAGTAGGTCTGCATTAAAAAAACAGGGATGTCACTGAAGTCCAGCTCCTGCAGCTGTGTTTTCTCCTTTGCCAGAAGAAGGAACTTACATAGATCATCCAGGAGCTGTAGCGGTCCTTGAGGTTGTAGAGGACGGCAGGTTCGTGCAGGTGGGTCAGCATGGCCACATCCTCAACTCTGTCAAACTTAGGGGGGTTCATGGCATACACGTCATCAGGTTTGACAGCAACTGTCTATAATCCAGAAAGAAAGAGCAAACCTTCGTTCAGCAGCTCTTGACAGTCCTTCCACAACCACAGAGAAGTAATAACCTCTCTAAGGCTGCTCTAATACTTTTTTTTTTTCTGTTTAAATGTGCTAAACAAAATATGGCTATTTCAGGGCAAACACTGCAGCCAGCCAGGAAGTCTACAACACAGGTACATTGACAGGATGTCATTTTCCTGGAATACATGATTTGTGCTGGAATAGATCTTTCAACACATGATCCCTGCTAATGAACTTTAGATCTCTGCTGCTCATGATTGTAAGAGCCTGGGGCACATCTGCTAGCCAGCCAGGCTCCCAGCCTCCAGGGTTCCCATGACAGTGCCAGAGAGCTGGGACACAAACAGCACAAGACTCATCAACAGCAAATCCATCCTTGGGACAGACTTGTTCCACTCCTGTTTGTGGCCATCCCAATTAAAGAACAGCTTTGTCTCTACCAAATAGCACTGTCTGCTAGGCTCACACGGTGGGGGACCATCCTGTCCCACTGCCAGAGCCTGTGGATTTGTTGTGGGGGTGGCAGATGTTCACAGCTGGCAGCAGCTTAACTCAGCCACTGCTTTCTAAAAGCCTTGTAGCACCTACTGCCAAGATGTTGGTCATGGTTGTTCTTTGAGCTGCTACAGTTATTCTTACAAAAGGTGTCAGGGCACAAGCTGCTAAGACATTTCGGCGTTTTGGAAGATTAACACCTTGGATGCTCCTCTGGGAAACTGCAGGCAGTGACACTGACAATTTCACATGCAAAGGCGACTTGCAAAGTTATCTGTCTGCTCAGCATCCAGTAAAGGAAGGAATTTATGAGTGGATATAACAGCGTTAGCTGAGAAAGCGTTAAAAACTAAGTTAAGACTGGCAAGGCTATGATCCAACCAGGCTTAGAGCATTGCCTGATTTTTAGAGCCCAAACCAAGAATAATTATCCAATGAATACTTTTATCCCCCCATCCAGAGCTATACTTTCCTGTGGAGGCTGTGCTGGTCCCAGTCAGAGGACAGGGGAGGACAGATTTCTTGCCTCAGCTAGCCTGTGCTCTCTCAGTTTGTCCCCAGCAGACACCCTGGGTCCCCAAGCAGGGCTGGGAGAAGGGCCAGAAGGAAAGCACTTACTCTGCCATCCTCTGTCTCCACAGTTATCTTCCCATCCTGTGCAGCCTTAATCCTCCCTCTGGTATACTCCACCTCGGGGTCAGCCACAAAGCAGTAGGTTTTGGCATCAAAAGGCTGGTTCTGGGCTTCTATTCTCTCCTTCTCGGATTTGCGCAGGTACGGCGCGGCCTCACCAAAAATCTCCATGGCAGCGTCTCTGCTCGTGGCTCTGAAAGACAGACCCTGCTGGGCTGCTCCCCTGTGTGCAGCTGAGCATTCACCCCCAGCTGGCTGCTCCAAGCTCACCCTCCCAGCTCTCAGGTGTGTGCGGTGAGATCCTGAGGGAGTTGTTTGCTTTTCCAAGCTGGAAGGTACAAAGGCGGTGAAGAGCCACCACCCTCCATGGCCCCAAGGAAAGGAGATCCGTGTCCAAAGGAGGAGGGGGGCTCCCAAGGAAAGGGGTCAGATCTGAAGGATTCATGTAGTCTTTAGAAAAAGTGAGGCCCTGAAAATTGTTTTTCTTCTGGTTTTTAATTTATGACTTCCCCCACTCTCTATTAACATGGAAGCTGTCCTAGTCCTCTGGTGAGCAGCCACAGTGGGCAGGAATGGACACGTGCTTAAAGGAGCTCATGGAGGGGGAAAAACAGGGACCTGCCCACGGTGGGCACAGGAGAAAAGCCAGCTCATGCCAGCCTGGGCAAGCTGTTAGTTTTTATGCCTCAAATCCTCACCTTAACAATCAGCCAAGAGAAAGCAGGAAGGAACCAGCTGACATCTCGTATCTCTGAAAGAGAAAGAGTCAAAGGTCAAACTTCAACTGAGCTGCAGCCTCTCCAAAGGCCCAACACCTCTCACTGCAATTAACTGTGCCTTTTGAAGGCCAGAAAAGTTCACCAGAGACCACTCCTTCCCTGCCCAAGGAATGGAATCTACAGGAGAATTCCCACCACAGTGCTACAGCCCTGTGAGGCTCCAAGCATGGGGAACAGGACCTGTGGTAGGAGCCTTCTGTCCCTCTGCAGGTCAGTCAGAGCATGGCCTTGAGCTTGGCCAGGACATCAGGAGCCACCAACAAGGGCTTTCTCCCTGACAGCTTTTATAGGCTCAGCTCAGTCCCCCTGGTTCAGCCCTGTCCCTATATTTGGAAGGAGGGGATCGACACTCCCGCCTGCTCACCAATTCATGTTCATTTTTTGCCATATACAGCGTGTAAAGGAAGGACCTGCTCTTCTCTCCCAATTTTAGTAACTCTGGGATTTTGTAGACTTTTCTTTGGTGGAAATTTCCTTTACTGGGAGCGTGCTGTCCTGCCAGCTACAGCCACAGCCAGCTCTTCACTCTCACCAGCACGTCAAACAAATGATAGCACAGAGGGGACCTGCCTCACTGCTCCTGCTCACAGACTGCCTGGGCAGAGCTGCACAGTGGTGAAGGAACCCAAACCAGCTGTGTGTGGGGTGGAGAGCGAGGCCACGGGAAGGAGAAAGAGGATGAGGATTCCTGCAGGATAAGTTTTGGCAATTCTTGTGGCTTACGCCACAGCCACCATGGGTCAGGGAGGACGGGATGAGAGGCCATGACTGAAATACAATGTGACAAACATGGCAAATTAGAGACTAATCAGAAAGAGCAACACCCAAATCTGGCCAGGGATGGACGGTTCATGAATGTCAAATCATGAATACACCACACAAGTTTAACTTCAAATACAACTTTGGCTGCCCACGACGTTCACTGCCAAGAGGAGCTGTAGAAGCCCCATTACACCATGCTGAGGACGTTCTCAGACATGTGTGACTGCAATTCCCACAGAAGGATACTGGGAAAGTGGGCTTTAGATGGAGGTCTCCCAGTCCCAAACACGCTGTTTGGTTGGTACAGAGCAGCCAGGCAATGGCTGGCAGGGCAGCACTTGGCAGAACAGTGGGAGCCTTCACACAGCTGGAGTGAGCTCCTGGTGCAGGAGAGGAAGGGTCTCCTCCATCCCGAGCCACTCTGGCTGCTCTGGTCATCTGTCACTGTCCAGCAACCCCTGTTTGCTCTCTGCACTGCATGGACTCCCACCCAAGGCTGCAGGACCAGCCTTCCCCAGCAGAATGAAGCCAACAAGCCTTGTGTGAAGCCAGGAGCCCCCTCCACCCTCCCCAAACAGCTCCTGCCACCTCCCCATCCAGCTCCACTCTGATCTGGAGCACCCTGGGGCAGCTGCAGCTGCTGCCACAGCACAGGGGATGTCACCCCTTTGGGACAGTGGCTGACCCTGTTTGTGCTGTCCCAACAAGAGCCGAGCCTGTGGGCTTGCAGCAGAGTCACTGTCACTAGAGTTTTGAAAAACATGTTTCATGTTGCCCTTAATTTCATTTAAGGTCACTAAAAATGGACACCACAGCCACACATCTCATGAACCATGAATTCCTAGAATCCCCCTAAGCCTGGAGGATGAGGGAAAAGCTTATTTTAGCACACATCCCTTGTGATCGGCCCTTTGAACTCAGCACAGGGGATGTGCTGGGAGCAAAAAGCTGAGGCACACCAGGCCAGGGAGCAGGCTGGGGTTTTGTCCCGACACCAAATTGCCACTGTAATTCAGAAAGGACATTTCCAGCTCCCAGGCATGCTCAAGACAAGAGGACTGGACTTCACTCACACAATCATTGGGGTTGGAAAAGACTTCCCAAGATCAAGTCCACTTCTCACCGATGCCCACCTTGTCACCAGGCCAGAGCTCTGAGTGCCACATCCAGCCCTTCCTTGGACACCTCCAGGGATGGGGACTTCACCACCTCCCTGGGCAGCCTGTTCCAGTGTTTGACTGCCCTTTCAGTGAATAATTTCCTCTTGATATCCAGCCTGAGCCTCCTCTGGCCCAGCCTGAGGCCGCTCCCTCTCCTGCTGTCCCTGTTCCCTGGGAGCAGAGCCCCCAGCTGTCCCCTCCTATGCAGAGACAGAATTTCCCCGAGCCTCCTTTTCTCCAGGCTGAGCCCCTTTCCAGCTCCCTCAGCCTCTCCTGGTGCCCCAGACTCTTCCCCAGCTCCATCCCCTTCTCTGGACACACTCCAGCCGCTCCATGTCTTTGTTGTCATGAGTGGCCCAGAACTGGACAGAGCACTCAAGGTGCCTCAGCAGTGCCAGCACAGGGGGTGGGCACTCTCCTGGTCCTCCTGGCCACACCATGGCTGGTACAGACCCAGCTCTCATTGGCCTTTACTGCTGGCAAAGTCCCCACACCCAGTGGAAGTACAGAAAAGAGAACCCTCAGGCAGCAAGAACCACTCTCCTGGATTTCTCTTGCTGGTTCAGGTGTCCAGGTGGGAGCAGAGTGCAGGAAAAGAAGTGGCACTGAGCAATGACCCACGGCAGCTGCAAGTACAGCTGCTGCTCTGTGCTGCCAACATCACTGCAGACACAGAGCTGTCCTGAGGTGAAGGTCACGAGGGCGCTGTCACCACGAGCCACATTGCCTTGCAAGGCTCTCTCATCCCATCCTGGTGCTGCCAGGGAGCTTTTATTGCTGCCCTTCATTCAGAAAAGGGCACACTCATAGCTCAATATACCCCAGCAAATTAAAGGTGGATTTACTGGTTGGTGTCTATCTATTTTTGCACAAAGAACTTCGGGAGAACAAGAAGGTTTTGTAAGCTGCAGCTGAGTATGTTCCCTGGCACGCTGAAGGAACCTGCTTTATTAAACTAGTAATACACAGCTTAAAACATGGAATGAGTTGGCTCGTGCACAGAGACAGGTGCAATCGTTCCTGCCCAGGTCTCCCCAGCACAAATCTTCACAGCAACATGCACAACTGATGCAGAGCTGCTAGAAGTCAGGGGCTATACTCTACCACCAGTATAACTTCCTTTAAAAAATATCCATTTCTAATTGAACCAAACTAAACTTTAAAATTCTTTCCTAAGCGGCAAATAGTCAGCTTTTTGCCTTTGCTTTTAGGCCACCAAAGAGCAGTCCAGTAAAACTGAGGGACTTGTCAGTCATGTCTAAAGGACTGTGGCCATTCCCCCTGCAGCACAGACCAGCACATCAGCTTCACTGAGCACAGACTCACTGCCCCAAGGCTGGGGAGCTCCTGAGCAGCACACACTGTGCTGGAACCACAGCTCCTGGAAGCTCCAGGTGAGTGCACTGCTTCAGCAGCAGGGGCTGGAAAGCCTTGGTTGCAACCTCAGTGCATTGGGACAGACTGCTCCCAGCTCTGACTCCTCAGCACTCCGTGCTTGTTCCACCTGGCTGAAAACACATTCTGATTTGCAGAGAGGTGGTGAAGAGCCCAACTCAATTCTCAGCCTCCAGCTCCATCCTGCAGTTCACTGAGACCACGTAAGAGCCTTCATTTGTCCCAGATCCTGGCTGTGGGCTGATGGAAGCGCATCTTAGGAATGCCAGGTCGGTGCTGGGACCAGGCAAATCTGACCAAGTGAGAAAAGGCTCAGAAAACGTAGATATCTTCAAAGGCACTGCAGAAGGGGAGAAAGAACATCTCCATCCACACATGACCTTGACCCACTCTGAAGACTTGCCTCTTCCTCAGGCTGTGAACAAGGATGAACAGGGTCTGGATGGCTGCAGGAGGTTGGACTACAGACCTCCCGAGAGTCCTTCTTATCTGACTCTTTCCATGATCTGGACTGAAAATGCAACACAGGGCTTTTGCAGTTGTTTGAGGTCATAGTCTCTGCACCTCTTCAGGCCCTGATTCTGCCTGTGCTGGGGCTGAGAACACTCCTAAAGCAGCCAAGCTTCACCCTTGTGGCTTAAGTGTCACTCATCAGCTGAGCTCCTCCATGGGCTATGCAGGCAGCACATGAGGAATGTGCTGCCTTCCTTGGGTGGACAAATGGAGCTGATCCTCATTCCTCAGACATCTTGTCGCTGGTCCTCAGCCTGGGATGGCAGCAGCTCCTCAGCTGGGGTTATGGATGCCAGCCCCTCAGAGGAGATGCTGTTTTCCACTGGTATTTCCAGGCCAGGGCTGGGTGTGCTGTGGGCACACAGAGCACAGATCTGTGGGTTGGCCCCTGCCAGGTCTGTGCTCTGCCCTCCCCCTGTCCCTGGGGTACCCAGGGGGCCCTGCTGGCCTTGGGGAACACAGGTTCACCATGCACCAGGCTCTGACAAGTCTGGTTCCCAAATGAAACCTGTCACCTGGTAGTTTTCAGAGACCCACCTGGGCAGCCTGGCCCTGCTCAGCCCCACACCAGCACCCAGCACAGCCCCAAGAGAGGAGCCCTGCCACAAACCTTCCCTGCCAGAGCTGAGATCCCTCCCTTGCACTTGGGGATAGAGGGAATTTGGGTACAGTGAGTACAGAGGCAATTTGGTTCATTTCTAATACTGGTCTGGAAAAATACTGAATATCAGCTGAGAAAGCATCTCCAAGCACCCCCAGCACATTCCCTTTCCCTCCTGGACCAGCTCTCCCTCATCCCAGTGAGCACTTAGCACAACCCTTGGGCCTCCTAAACACACATCTGTGCTCCCTGCTGTCACTGAACAGGGCAGGGAAATCACCTCCTAAACACACAGGGAACACATCTGTGCTCCCTGCTGTCACTGAACAGGGCAGGGAAATCCTAATAGTTGCCTAAACAACATTTTTGGTTTTTAACAAAGGAAAAAACAAATGCCAAAGAACAACAAAACCCCACTACGAAAATAAAACTCCTCACTTCCAAAGAAAGTCTTCCTCCTGGAAAAGCCAAGGGAAAAGTGATGGGCATGGTCAAATTGGAAGGCTGAAAAAAGCAGGACATCAGTGGGTCCCACTGCCATGAGGCAAGGGACATGTCACTCCATCTGAAATCTTTCTGGGCCTTTGCCACTCTCCCCCCAGTCTGCCAGAAGCTTCCTGGGTCAGCTGGTTCTGCCTTTCAGGGCACAGAAAAACAAGGCAAAGGACACGACAGTGCTGCCAAAACACTTGGGAGAACACAGGAATTCTGTATTTGTCTCTGTGGTACGAGTCAGCTGCAAATGAGCTTTAGAGAAATCAGTGGAACAGGTGACTCCTCCCAGGCTGCAGGTCATGTGAGATTTTGCAAAGCCTCAGGAGAGAGGTTTGCTTTGTCCAAATTCTGCTTTAGCTTGGCTTAGCTGTAACACCAATTCTTTCTTCTGAGCAGGTGCTTCTAACTGATTTGTTTTATTTTTACTTACCATTGCTTCACACAATCATGATTTTCCAGACTGTCCTCTGTGCAGAAAAGGTGTTTGGCCCTAACACACTGCTGCAATATTTAAAATACAGGCCTGGTGTGACAGCAGAGACCTTGAGAAGGGCAGACAAAGGCTCTTGTGCAGAGCACAGCCACAGGCTGGTAAAAGGTGGGGCAGAGATGGGCCCTGAGGGCTCCACAAACACAAACAAATCACAAGGGATCAAATAAATACAGACCTGAAGGTGAAACCCATGGAAGAGAGCAAGTATCAAATATATGTAAAAATTCATGAGATATCACTGCTCTGAAACAGGTGAAGTTTACTTGTGTTCACAATTTTGGAAAGACAGAAATTCTCCACAGGCTTTGCACCTTCCCTCAGATGGGAACCTTCTCTTCCAGCCCCCACACTCAGGAGGACACCAGTGCTACCTGCAGGAACACCTGAGCTCAGCCTAAGACCTGCTGGAACTCACACCAAGAACTGTTCAGGTTTGTCTCCTGTGGGCCCTTCTCTGAGGTTCAGCTTAAAAAAGCACATTCAGCTCCTGAGGTGCATGACTAGAAATAAATACTGCTTTCTAAAAAGAAGGAAAGCAGAGCAAGAATATGAAATTTGCCTGGTATACAAAGTTCTGATGACATTCTAGTCAAACCTAAGGAAATAAAAGTATGTATTGCTTATACAAATCAATCTTTATTTTCAAATGCTGCACTGCATAAAATGTATCTGATTGCCAGCCCTGTGCACACTCACAGCCCCCCTCCACCCTCCCCACTTCCCCCAGCACAAGCAGAGCAACTACACACACCATCATTTGCACCAGAAGAAAAACCTATTTGCATCCCAATTCTCGTTTCCTTATAAGTGAACAGTGTTCACCTGGAAAAATCACCAAAAAATTACATCTCATTTCTGCATTCAGATGAAATGATCATGCTTGCTACAGGGCTGGTCCCATGCTGGAAGCAGCTGGTGCTTTCAGTGCTCTTCACCTTCTTAACCTAGATAAAGAAGAATTTTTAAGGCTCTCCTGCTTCTAATAGTGCAACTGCCTCTCCTAGAAGGCAAAACAGTGCAGAGAAACCAGAGGGCAGAGCTCCTCTGAGAACGCCATGGCCCCATCCAGTAATGGCTTTGCATCAAGTAATCTTCCTGCAGTGACTGTTGTCCTTGCTGATGTCTTGACAGACCAGCAATTTTTTTTTTTACCAGCAATATTTTCCCAGCAACACACACGTTCTTCCCAAGTGAAAAGTGCTTTCCATCCTTTGCTCCCAGCAATGTTTCAGAGAAGTCTCAAATTTTATTCTGTACCCGAGATCTTGTTGGAAATGATATCCATGGGAAAGGCTCTGTAGAGATTTTTGGTAATGGGAATTTGCAGAAACATGGATAACCTCTCTTATTTGGAAGAAAGGAGACCTGCTTGACAGGATGTTACACTTGTGTGCTTCTGCTTTAACTCCAGTGTCCAATCACAGCCAAACCCCCAGGTGACAGTCACAGCAATCTTTGAGGACCTTCTGTTTTAGGATCTGTATTTTCTCATGTGTGCAGCAATAGAAGACGAAATCTCAGCACTCTTCTTATTCTGGCCATAGTAGTCCACAAAGTCACCATCGGGGCCGAGGAGGTACATAATTATTGTGTGATCCACCTGCAGGAGAGCACAGCGTGGCTTGGTCAGGGACCACAACACCACAGAACCACAGCTCAGACGGGAAATGCGGGATCGGGATCGGGACTGGCAGTGGGATACAGGGAATGTGGGATTGGATTGGGACTGGCAGTGGGATACAGGAAATGTGGGATTGGATTGGGACTGGCAGTGGGATACAGGGAAATGTGGGATTGGATTGGATTGGGACGTGGGATACAGGGACCACTTCCCCCAGCACAAGCAGAGCAACTACACACACCATCATTTGCACCAGAAGAAAAACCTATTTGCATCCCAATTCTCTTTTCCTTATAAGTGAACAGTGTTCACCTGGAAAAATCACCAAAAAATTACATCTCATTTCTGCATTCAGATGAAATGATCAGGCTTGCTACAGGGCTGGTCCCATGCGTGGAAGCAGCTGGTGCTTTCAGTGCTCTTCACCTTCTTAACCTAGATAAAGAAGAATTTTTAAGGCTCTCCTGCTTCTAATAGTGCAACTGCCTCTCCTAGAAGGCAAAACAGTGCAGAGAAACCAGAGGGCAGAGCTCCTCTGAGAACGCCATGGCCCCATCCAGTAATGGCTTTGCATCAAGTAATCTTCCTGCAGTGACTGTTGTCCTTGCTGATGTCTTGACAGACCAGCAATTTTTTTTTTTACCAGCAATATTTTCCCAGCAACACACACGTTCTTCCCAAGTGAAAAGTGCTTTCCATCCTTTGCTCCCAGCAATGTTTCAGAGAAGTCTCAAATTTTATTCTGTACCCGAGATCTTGTTGGAAATGATATCCATGGGAAAGGCTCTGTAGAGATTTTTGGTAATGGGAATTTGCAGAAACATGGATAACCTCTCTTATTTGGAAGAAAGGAGACCTGCTTGACAGGATGTTACACTTGTGTGCTTCTGCTTTAACTCCAGTGTCCAATCACAGCCAAACCCCCAGGTGACAGTCACAGCAATCTTTGAGGACCTTCTGTTTTAGGATCTGTATTTTCTCATGTGTGCAGCAATAGAAGACGAAATCTCAGCACTCTTCTTATTCTGGCCATAGTAGTCCACAAAGTCACCATCGGGGCCGAGGAGGTACATAATTATTGTGTGATCCACCTGCAGGAGAGCACAGCGTGGCTTGGTCAGGGACCACAACACCACAGAACCACAGCTCAGACGGGAAATGCGGGATCGGGATCGGGACTGGCAGTGGGATACAGGGAATGTGGGATTGGATTGGGACTGGCAGTGGGATACAGGGAAATGTGGGATTGGATTGGATTGGGACTGGCAGTAGGATACAGGGAAATGTGGGATTGGATTAGGACTGGCAGTGGGATACAGGGACATGCGGGATTGGGATCGGGATGAGCAGGGGGATACAGGGATTGGGACTGGCAGTAGGATACAGGGAAATGTGGGATTGGATTGGATTGGGACTGGCAGTAGGATACAGGGAAATGTGGGATTGGATTGGATTGGGACTGGCAGTAGGATACAGGGAAATGTGGGATTGGATTGGATTGGGACTGGCAGTAGGATACAGGGAAATGTGGGATTGGATTGGGACTGGCAGTGGGATACAGGGAAATGTGGGATTGGATTGGGACTGGCACTGGGAAACAGGAAATGTGGGATTGGATTGGAACTGGCAGTGGGATACAGGAAATGTGGGATTGGATTGGAACTGGCAGTGGGATACAGGGAAATGTGGGATTGGATTGGAACTGGCAGTGGGAAACAGGAAATATGGGATTGGATTGGGACTGGCAGTGGGACACAGGGAAATGTGGGATTGGATTGGAACTGGCAGTGGGATACAGGAAATGTGGGATTGGATTGGAACTGGCAGTGGGATACAGGGAAATGTGGGATTGGATTGGATTGGTACGGGCAGTCGGATACAGGAAATGTGGGATTGGATTGGAACTGGCAGTGGGATACAGGGAAATGTGGGATGGGGATTGGGATCGGGAGCAGCAGTAGGATACCCAGACATGCGGGATTGGGATCGGGATCAGCAGTGGGATACAGGGACATGCGGGATTGGATTGGATTGGGACTGGCAGTGGGATACAGGGAAATGTGGTATTGGATTGGAACTGGCAGTGGGATACAGGGAAATGTGGGATTGGATTGGATTAGGACTGGCAGTGGGATACAGGGAAATGTGGGATTGGATTGGGACTGGCAGTGGGGTACAGGGAAATGTGGGATGGGGATTGGGATCAGGATCAGCAGTGGGATACAGGGACATGCGGGATTGGGATCGGGATCAGCAGTGGGATACAGGGACATGCGGGACAGGGGCGCCCCCTGCCGGCGCACTGCAGCAGCCTCACCCAAGCACATCCCGGATATTCCAACTGGATTTGTATCAAAATTAACTCCACTGCAAATTTATTTAAATGACGCTGCAAGTGCTGTCTGCACCTAACCGTGACAATATCTTTCTCAGCAAAGACACAGAGTTCTGGGTCTGGAAGCCATGATTGCTCAGGACTGAAATACAGCCGTGCTCGGAGTTCAGCTGCATTAGAAATGAGAAATCACAGCAGCTTTGGAGCACACAGGAAAAGAGCCAGTCAACTATGTTACAGATCAGAAAGAAATTCAACTATTGCCAGGCTTGCAAGTTCCTGTGCTGCTGTCTGCATTTCTGGGCTTGTTTAGAACACACTTTGGTAAGGTGCTGAGCTTGTAGGAGGGCATTGTGGTTCTGACAGGTGAACATACACGGGACTTCAGTAAAGATCAACAGCCAGTTTTAAAATGTTCATGCTGCTCTTATCCAGTCTTTAGTAGGCAAAGGCTGCTTTTACTCACTATGTAATCGTTGTCCTCATCCTTGGGCCCTTCACTGTAGTACACACGGTATGCTTTAGCCACTTGGTCAATCTGTGCCTTGCTACCAGTCAATCCCACCAGCTTCGGAGAAAATTCTAGACAGAAAGAAGACATTTACACATTTTGGTGAAAAGAATCCCTTCAAGAGGCTCCATTTTAGTGCTCTGTACTACATGCTATGAGACACGGAGGAAGAAAGCAGGAATACCTTTAACATATCTGGCAATGGCTTCTTGGTTGTCCCTCTCAGGATCGATGGTGATGAAGAGTGGGGTCAGATTAGGCAAAGATGGAATTCGATCTGTGATATTAATGGTTATTATTTATTTTAGAAAACCAGATATCACCTCTCATCTTCCTTCAAACAAGCTCATAGCCATGTAACATCAACCCAAGCCCACCCCAAGTGACTAGACCATGTTGTGCTGTTTTATTTATGTAATTTCTGAAGGAAGCACGTGCCATGAGATGCAATGCTCTGTGCTCCCAGACCCTGAATTGCCATACCAATTTCATCTACCACTGCAATCATTTTCTCCAGCTCATCAGGACAGATGTCAGGGCAGTGAGTGAAGCCAAAGTAGATCAGCACCCACTGGCCGATGTAGTCCTTGCTGGTCCTGGGCTGTCCCTCATGGCTGACGAGGGAGAAGGGCCCTCCCAGCAGCGGCTTCCCAATGCCTCGGTTTCGTTCCTTCTCCAGTTCTACAAAACACAAGTGGGAATCAAACACACCCATGCCACAAGGCACAATGCTTCCCAGGCAAGCCGAGTCAGACACTGCTCAGGGTCGTGGCAAGATCCACCAACGCCTGTCGTGCAGACACCCAACGTGCACATGCCTTCCAGAAAGCGCTCCTTTTGGACAAAATCAAATCTATCACTAAATTCCTTTGAAACACGATATTATCTTTCACTGTTACCTGACTGTATTTTTGTTTCAAAAGGGAAAAAATAAAGACATCTGGCCTGCTGTGACACAGCGAAACCAGCATCTGTTGAAAACTGAACACACCCTAAAAGCTGCAATAGCTCTGTTTTCAACTGTAAATGCATTAAAAGGAAATGTGTGGGCAGCTGCTGCAAGAGAGGGCAAAGCTCACGGGCTGCACAGCAGGAACCCAATGAACCCACAACACCCAGCTCCGTGTGTGCACTGCACAGGCTGGCACAGCGTGCTGCCAAACACAACTATTCCACCCTAAGAACTTTAAAACGTTGAACCTTGAATTGCTTTACATTTTTGAAAGTTTTCTGCGGCACTTCCGTAAACACAGGCACGAAGCGGCCGTGTGGAAAGCGGTACAGGGACGATGCCCAGGCAGGTAAAATACATCTGAGCGCAAAACCCACATCATTTAAACACGACAAACGCTTCATCTGAATACGAAACGCGACATCCCCGGTCTCAGAATGCGTGCCTGGACGGGCTGTTCGGGTCCCATCCGGCTAGCTATGGACCGCAGCCCACACGATCTCACAAAAGGCAAACAGCGCAATACAACACCGCCGGCGCTCCTCCCGCACCCCGCACTCACTCTCCTCCTTGTGCCGCTTCATCAGCTTCATGCCGGCCAGCAGCCCCCCGCCCAGCACCACGGTGGCCGCCAGCGACCGCCACGACACGAGCTGCGGGGGACAAGGGCTTGGTGACTGCTCGGGGCACGGAGCGGCCCGGCCCGGCCCGCGCTCCCTCCGTCCCTCCCTCACTCACCCGTCTCTGCGCGCCCGCCCGCGGCCCGCGGCCCGGCGGTAGCTGCGACAGCGGGCGGCTGCGGGGTGCGGGCAGCACCGCCCAGCCCCGCACGGCCGGGCCCGGCAGCGGCCACAATCCCGGGCTCGCCCTCAGCCGCCACAGCCCCGCCGCTCCCGCCATGTTCCCGCCGGCCGCGCCGCCCCTTCCGGCCCGCCCGAGGCCGCCATGCAGGGTGCGCCGCGCCTCGCCTTCGGGGTCGTCGCTGACATCCAGTTCGCGGACGCGGAGGACGGGTACAATTTCGGCGGCTGCCGGCGGCGCTACTACCGGCACAGCCTGCGCTTGCTGCGGGAGGCGGTGCGGGAGTGGGCGGGCGAGAGCCCGCCGATAGACTTGGTGCTGCAGCTGGGCGACAGCATCGACGGGCAGAACGCCCGGCGCGGCGAGGCCGAGAGCGCCTTGCAGCAGGTGCTGGAGGTCCTGGGGCAGCTCTCGGTGCCGGTGCACCACGCGTGGGGCAACCACGAGCTCTACAACTTCAGCCGGGCCCGGCTGGTGCACACCGGGCTGTACAGCCGGCCCGCGGGGGGCTCGGACGGGCCCCCGGACAGGGAGTGCCACGCGTATCACTGCAGCCCGGCCCCGCGGCTCCGCCTGGTCGTGCTCGACAGCTACGACGCGAGCACCCTGGGCACGGACCCCGGCAGCCCCCGCTACCAGGAATCCCTGCGGCTGCTGCGGGAGAAGAACCCCAACGAGGATCTCAACAGCCCCGAAGGTACCTCCGGCTTGGCAGGGGCGCGGGCGGCCGAAGCTGCGCTGTCCGGAGCTCCCGGTGCTGACAGCGGGATGCCGGGGGCTCAAGCATTGCTGGCCGCTCCCTGCCGTCAGTGCGGGCACAGGAGATGCTCCCCCGTACGCCTGGTGCTGCCGCTGTGCCCTGCTCTGTGCCCCGCAGGACCGGGCGGGCGGCTGGTGCAGAGCACCGAGTCCTGCCCGCCCTGCCCCATGCCGGGGGGAAACCCAACCCTGTTCGGGTAGTGTGACCAAAACTCCCGAAAACACTAACGGATAATCTTCTTCGTGCAAGGGGGCTGGAGTTCTGCTCCAGGAAATGCAAAAAAAAAAAAAAGAAACCCAAATGTTCTGAGAGTAAACCAACCGTCAGCAGATTTACTTATGGCAAATAGAGGAGCCGTGGTTGGTGTATGCATTTGTGCCTAACCGTCTTTTTCATTGCAGGGCTCAAAGAACCTTATTTTGTAGCATTTAATGGAGGATTTAGCCAAGCCCAGCTGGACTGGTTTGATGGAGTCCTCAAGTTCTCTGATGAAAACCAGGAAAAAGTTATAGTTATGGGTAGGTAGATATGGAGGGGGATAAATAGAGAATCAGAATGGTTTGTGTTGGAAGGGCGCTTAAAGCTAATCTAGTTCCAACCCCTGTACTTGATGGTGTACAGAGGCAGCTCTCAGCAGCTCCTCTCACTCATTTCTGTAGGTGGCTTCTTCCCTCCTCGCCAAATATCAATTGATGCAAAACCAGCACAACTCCCATGGAAAAAAAAAAATTAGCTAGCCCATGTATGTTAGCTGTAGAAAACATGCAGTTGGTCTGGTGAGGTACAGATGGAACCCTTGAAAGAGCAGAACAGCAACCACACCTCAGTCTGGGGGTGAGCTTTCTGTACTCAGTGGGATGAGCACCCAAGTTCCCAGCAATGAAGAGCTTCATTACAGTTTAACTCTCTTTATTTCTTTCCCTCTGGACTGCAGCCCACGTGCCCATCCATCCCTGTGCTTCCAACGGGGTTTGCCTGGCCTGGAATTACGAGGCTGCCCTGTCAGTGATACACGCACACGGGTGTGTGGTCTGTGTCCTCGCTGGGCACCTGCACGACGGCGCCTACTGCCTGGACTCTCACGGAGTTCATCACCTCACCCTGGAGGGGCTCATCGAGACGCCCCCCGACAGCAACGCTTTCGGAACTGTTCATGTCTATGAAGATAAAATGGTACTAAAGGGAAGGGGCAGAATTCCTGACAGAGTTATGCAGTTCTGAAATACCGGGCAAATATCGATTGTTCTTCTTCAGGAAGGACTTGGACAAAAATGTAGGAGATTCAGCTGTTTGCTTTTAGAAAGCTGTGCGTGGCTGATCCTTATTGCTTTAGCTCAGGCGTTTTTCTCTTGGATACAGAATTTTAGAAATTGTGTTTCTGTAAGAGAGCACCTGACTTCTTTTTGGAGAATAGAGAAGGCCAGTAATTTAAAGAAATATACTGGAATGGAGAATGTTCATTTCAAACACCCAGTCCAGACTGGATTGCTGCTGTGAAAAGATGCAAAACATATAAAGAATATTGCTCAAAAAAAGCCCTAATGCTGTTCTCTCAGTGAGCAATAAAGCATGCAGAGTTGTACCTGCCCAGCCACATCTCTATTTATTTATTTTCTGTGAACATTACGGTAGGGTCTCATGTTTGGCAGAATATATCCAGCCTGTAGCCTAAATCAGTCTTCCAACTTTGCTTTAAAAGACTAAAGTAATCCTCAGAGAAGGCTGAGCCTAAGGAGACCATCTGTGCTGTACCATGGAATGCTGCAGATGCTCAGGCTGTGCTGTGTGTGCACAGCTGGGATCACCTGCAGCAGGGCTGAGAGTGAGCTCTGACACCCATGTAAGTAAAGGTGTTGTGTGTTACACCTGGAGCTGTCCTGGCTCTGTCCCAGCCAGCTCCTGAGTCCAGTGCATCCACCTTCCTTCTCCAGGATGAATAGTGGGACATGCTTGCTGCTGCAGGGCTACTGTGTGGGTCCTGCTTTCCAAGAAAAATTAGGTGAGCAGCAGAGTTGTGACAGTGCCCACATCTGCTGGTGACAGGCTTGAATGTGCATCTCCCAGAAAATAAAAGATACAGAGGCTTTCATTAAGTTTTCTTATAAAAAATAGTGTTTATTACTCAGTAAAACCAGTGACTTTCAGTTAAAGATAATAGCAAAAATATTTTTTTCAGATATATTCTACATATGATTTTAGCACAGGACAGAAATACAGACTGCTCAGTTTTCCAAGAAGTCTGAAATGGATTATCCAGGCACATTTTTGACAGTTCTATGGCTGTAAATAGTCATTTATTAAAACAGTGTTTGCTTTATTTGTCCCTTATATTACGGAAGGGTAGATTTTAGATTTCCCAAACTATCAGGTGATTGGAGAGTGATCCAGAGATATAGTGATATCTTGAATATACCATCAGAACAGACATTAGATCAATGGTGCTTGGAAAATGTAAGAAGCAGCAAGGTGAACAGTTTCCACAGAAAAATACCCCACTCAGATTTCACAGTGTTCAACATTTTACCAAATCTCAGCTGGCACTGCTGGAAGCAGCCAGGTATTCTTGTCTCCTATCAAACTGGCAGTCACCTTTCATTAAGTACCAAAACCAAAGGCAAAAAAGGTCAGCATAGTTACTGTAATAGTTACTGCAGACTTTCTCCCACCCAGTTACATCACGGTTTTGCAGTGTGTTGGCCAAGACTCTCGCATGTCTTTGTTCACATAAATATACAGCCATGAAGCAAAGGGGAAGAGGGCAACAACAACTGCAGCAACCAAACGAGCTCCTCCCAGGGGACTCCTGTAAGAACAAATCCAACAGAGCTGCTTCAAATCAGTGAATCTTTAAGGCTGGAAAAGACCTCCATGATCATCAGGTCCAACCTTGGACTGCTTACCATCACACCCACTAAACCCAACGGTTCAGTGCCACATCCAGTGCTTTTTTTTTAACACTTCCAAGGAATGGTGACTCCACCACCTCCCTGGGCAGCCTGTGCCAATGCCTGACCTCCCTTTCAGGGAAGCAATTTTCCCTAGGATCTAATCTCAACCTCCCAGCTTGAGGCTGTTTCCTCTGGTCCTGTCACTGTTCCCTGGAAGCAGAGCCTGACCCCCACCTGGCAGCACCCTCCTGTGAGTGAGCTGTAGAGTGACAAGGTCCCCTCTGATCCTCCTTTTCTCCAGACTGAGCCACTCCAGCTCCCCTGGTGACTCCTGGTGCTCCAGACCCTTCCCCAAATCTGGCCCCAGGACTGGAGGTGCCTCAGCAGTGCCAGCACAGGGGACAGGCACTGTCCTCATCCTGCTGGCCACACCATGATGGGACAGCCCAGGATGTCCCTGGCCACTGCCACAGCCACCACATAGCAGTCACATCTGCCTGCAGCTGGAAAGAGCAGAGAGCCTTTGGCCACTTTAATGGGGCTCCTATGGATGTAGCACTAATACTGGAGAGGCACAAAGAATTTTCTGACAACTCAGGCTGCAGAAACTAGCTGGAATTTAAAAATGCACCTTAAGCAAAGGGAAAATGTCCCTATTATGGCAGGGGACCAGAAAAAGTGCTTCATGTAGCCTTACATTCCTCCCTGCCCCAACTTTTATCTGTGCAAGATCCTCCAGGCTGTAGCACCAGCTGCTACTGCTTGGGCATCTGGAAAGTTCAGAGGGTGACAAAAACAGCAAAACAAGCTGCCAAAATCAACTGTGTGTTTTCAAGGAGCTAGTCACTAAATGTGAACATTGGAATGGATTATAAAAAAAGAGAAAATAAAACTTACTTTGCTGAACTGCGACAAAGACTCATCCATATTGCAATAATCACCAGACCAAACAATTCTCTAAAAAACCAAACAAAAAACAGATCAGAAAATACAATACAAATTTTGCCTCCAAAACAGTAGTGGCTGCTCCTTTGGAGAAGTTCAATATATTTTACTAGGATTATAATTATAAAGGTATTTACAAAGTGTAACTTTGTTTCACACTACAAATGTACAAAATGACATGTTAGCTAAACAGCTGCAGAAATTCCTGCCTCCACGTTTTGTTCTACTGCTGGATTTACATTTCTCTAATTAACACAGGCAAAGCAGACACGTTTCTCTCACTGAAACAGAGCAAAGCAACATCCCAGTTTTCCATACTGTGATTAGGTACAGAAGTAGCTGCCAGGGCTTCACCTCAGTACTCTGCAAGCACCTACTTTTACACACCTGAACGTCCAGGTGAGAAATTCTCCCTTGTCCTCATTACCTTGGAGGACTCAGCAGCCCATGCCAGATTTGAAAGAATTTGGTATCACCTCCAGAGTTTTTAAAAACACTGATTACCACTCCCACAGCTCCAGAAAAAGAGAACAAAGCTGTTTCACTGTGCTTGTGTCCTGAAAGCCAGACAAGTAAATCCAACTGCCTGCCACAATCAGGGAGGCAATGACTGCTCCCTTCCCTGTGTCCAAGGAGTTTGGAGCATTATGGTCCCTCCTCTTTGGTCTGATTCCTCTGGACCAACAGCTCTCACTGCAACAGCCCAGGACATAAAGTTTTGGAAGGTGACACCAGGAGGAGATGGCCTGGTGAGCTGGATTTGGGCAGGGGCAAATAAAACCCACTGCTTACCTGCCTTCCTCTTCATGAAAAATGTTTCCTTGAGCATAAGCAAACAAAGAGCAAGCCAAGGCAATGGTCCCAACAACACAGCCAGCAGAATGAAGGTCACAGAGGCTCCTCCAAACGCCATTGTCTGGGGAAAAAATCAACTGTCAGCCACTATCATGAAGAATGAAGTAAACCCATCTGGGTCTTCCACAGACCTGAATGGCAAATACCCCTTGGTGAATTTACATAAACCTGCAGTTTTAGAGAAGTTGTGCTATTATAATCTTTATTTTCCACAGATCTGGGCACAAGGGAAACCCTAACTATGAGTTTAACATACAGATTCTATTGACCAGCCAAAACCTCTCCTGAAATATTCAAAACCACAAGCCTCATGAGTTCTGAACTTAGGAATGCTGCCACTTTATATGCTTAAGGTGGCCAGAATGCCAAGAGACTGCAATGGTGTCATTTGTGACAATACCATGCACTCCTGAAGGTTTTGTTTTTTCAAGTGTGATTTTAGTTTATTCAGCATAAGTATTCATCCAGAACAGATACAGTCACTTTGTGTATATAAAATGGCTTTATTTAAAATTATTTCTGCTGAATTAAAATACAAAAATCTTAACTGTGTTCTGAAGGCTTGAAACAAATCTGATCTGAATGATCCTCTGAACTGCTGTTAGCCCCCACAACACACACCCTTGGAAACACAGCCTTTGAATGTTCCTATTGCTGTCCAGGGCTCTGTGGGGCAGCTGCAATACCTGGCACTGAAAAAGACCTTTAGCACTTTCATGGGACTGTGCAAAGCTCAGCTGCTTTTGCACGAGGTAGATAAACAAAAACAGATTTACAGCAACGAAACAAAGTCAATTGCTAAGGTCAACACAGAGCTGGGTTCAGAGCATGCTCCCAAGCTTCTGCTCCAGAAGGCTTTAAGCTGGAATTGGGGTGCAAAGGCAGGCCCATCCCAGCAGCTGGGATTTCTGCTGGACTCCTCTCCTCACCTGCAGTCTGTCCAGCCACCAGCACTAAAACAATGACCAGCTTCTGTAGAAATAGGTCCTGCAGCTTTTTGCCCTCAGAAGGTTGTAGGATGTGTTTCTACACAGCCTGATTTTAATCTGTGGCTCAATTAAAAAAAAAAAAAAAGGCAAGACAACAACCTTCTGAGGGCAAAATATGAGCAGAAACTGTTTTGCACACCAGTGTCATACCTGTTATTGAAGGGTTGATGCTGACAAGCAGTGTCAGGGCAGCTGGCACTAAGTAGACAACCTGTTAATGACATAAATCTACTTGGCAGCAAAACTTAGCAAGCTCAGGAAGCAGAAATGCCCAGCCACAGCAGCACTTCTCCCCTTCACACAGTTTTTCAGAGGTACAGAGCAGATCCCAGTCCCTCGCCCTCCGGCATGCCCTGGCACTGCTAGTGCTCACCTTCACCATCAGCACCCAAAATCCTGGGCCATCAGCCCTGAGCCAGCCCTTGTTCCTCTGCTCCTGGCTTCCAGAATGCTGGCTGTCTGACCAAGCACTGCAGAGCTCCTTCCCTGAATCCTGACCCTGACGGGACAGGCTCCTGCCCAGCCCTGGGCTCCCCAAACCCTCCACCCGCACTGGGGCGTTTTGTCCCCTTTGGTGCCGCTGTCCGAGGGGCTCACACACCCCAGGGCACGCAGGGCAGCCCCTGCCCAGCCAGCAGCTCCCGTCGCACACAAACTGTCCCCATCACCCGCAGCGCCCTGCCCAGCGCCGGGGCCAGGGGCTGCTCAGTGCCCGAGGCAGGACGGGACCGGAGCGGGGCTCGCTCCCCGTTCCCCCGGAGGCCCGGCTGAGCAGCAGGAGGCTGCTCCGGCTGGACAGCCAAGGCAAGCCCAGGGCCACGGGCACAGCGGGGCGGGAGGAGCGGGAGCAGCTCGGGGTGCTCTGCACAGGCAAGCGATGCTCTGCAAGGGCAGGTGCAGATCTGGGGTGAAATAAGGCAGATCCTGGAAGCACGGGCGGATTCCAGCCGTCGCTGCAGTAGAGACATCGCTTTCCCGGCGGCTGCCCGCTCTTCAGCTGGGAGCCGGCACGTTTCCTCCGGCGGCCCCGGATCGGACGGGCGTTAGCGGAGCGGGGCTGGGGCCGCCGGGACCCCCGGGCAGGAGATGGGGATGGGGATGGGAAAGGGGAAGGGGATGGGAAAGGGGAAGGGGAAGGGCGGCCCGTACTCACCGTCCACAGCCCCGCGTCGGGGTCGTTCACCTGCAGCGGGAGGCGCGCACTGAGACACCGGCCCGGCCGGGGCCGCGCTCCGCGGGAGGGGAGCGGAGGGGACGGGAGGGGAGCCCCGGCCTCACCTGCACGGCGGCCGCCAGCCCGAAGAAGGCGGCCATGAGGAGGTTGCAGAGCCGCCACAGCAGCGCCGCCATGGCCGGGGCGGGACAGAGGGGCCGGACAGAGGGGACGGACAGAGGGCGGGACCTGGCCCTGATCCTGATCCCCGATCCTGGCCCTGATCCCGATCCCCGATCCCGATCCCCATCTCGATTCCCGATCCCCGATCCCGGCCCCGATCCCTGATCCCGATCCCCATCTCAATTCCCGATCCCTGATCCTGGCCCTGATCCTGATCCCCGATCCCCGGTCCCTGATCCTGGCCCTGATCCTGATCCCCGATCCCCGGTCCCTGATCCTGGCCCTGATCCCGATCCCGATCCCCGATCCCGGCCCCGATCCCGATCCCCATCTCGATTCCCGATCCCTGATCCTGATCCCCGATCCTGGCCCCGATCCCGATCCCCGGTCCCTCATCCTGGCCCTGATCCCGGCCCCGATCCTCATCCCGATCCCGGCCCCGATCCCTGAACCTGACCCAGATCCCGATCCCGATCCCGGCCCCGATCCCGATCCCCATCTCGATTCCCGATCCCTGATCCTGATCCCCGATCCTGGCCCCGATCCCGATCCCCGGTCCCTCATCCTGGCCCTGATCCCGGCCCCGATCCTCATCCCGATCCCGGCCCCGATCCCTGAACCTGATCCAGATCCCGATCCCGATCCCGGCCCCGATCCCGATCCCCGATCCCCGATCCCAGCCCCGATCCCGGGCAGCACGGCGATACTTCGAGGCTGGGCAGGCCCTGGCACAGGTGCCCAGAGCAGCTGTGGCTGCCCCTGGATCCCTGGCAGTGCCCAAGGCCAGGCTGGACAGGGCTTGGAGCAGCCTGGGACAGTGGGAGGTGTCCCTGCCGTGGCAGGGGGCTAAATGAGATGAGTTTTAGGGCCGCTTCCAACCCAAACCATTCTGTGATTTTTGTAATGGTTCAGAAATAGTTTTGTGTTTAAGAGATTCGGTCATTTTGTGGAGTCTGGAGAACCAAAAAGGATGTTCCTCAGAAGAATAGCATCGTGCCCATTGTTCGCTGATCATTTATGATAAAAAGTGATAATGAGTGCCAAATTGAAAGTGGGTCCTTTAGGAATGTGATATTTACCAAAACCGAGCCTCTGTGAGATCATGTCTTCCAATTTCAGTTTCAGAATCGTACAGTTCCCCCAGCACCCAACAGAATCTGGTCTTGCTGAATTGTTATGTGGAGGACGTTTAAATGTGTCCACATTTGTGGAGAGGATTCATTCTCATTTTTAACTGAGTCTTGAGCAGGTTACAAGAGATGAAATTACTGCAAATAAAGCCACAAGGAAGTAAGAATTGTCTTTGTGAGAATTCCTACCCCTCACCTCAAAAGAAGCAAAGCTCTAGTAATAAATCACCTTCATGCCTTGTTTCCAGAGCAAGGATATGCTCTTGAATGTATTTTCTAACAGAGGGGAAGTAATTTTGGGCTAGAAAATGAAAATGTCAAGGATTAAAAACCAACAGTGGTGATAAAAGTGTAAGAAGAATGTAAGAGCATGTCTTTCATTAGCATAATAATTATTAACATAATATGATAGGAAAATAAAAGCAGCCAAGCTTTTCAGACACACCAGTTCTTTGTGTGGGAAACAAAATTATGAGTCACTGCCCATTTTTTCCAACCATACTAGCTGATCTTCAATATGAAAATTAATCTGTGATGAAGTCTTTGGATCTTTAATTTGTCTGATCACAAGCTATTGTGTAAATTTGCACAGCCCACCTAGTTTCTGTCATGGCTGGGCTGCTCCTTGACATCTCATGGGCTGCATAGTCAGGAGGGGAGAGGGAACAGATGGGAGAAACTGATAGACACTGGGAAGGAAGCAGAGAAACAGCTGGGCAGAGACATCCAGGGCCCTGCGTGGTGTGGGACAGGACTCTGCTGAGGGAAAGGGAAGGCTGGGCTGGCAGAAAGAAGCTCCTAATGGGCACTTGGGAGGCATGGCATGGAAGGTTTGGCAATCCTGTGAGTGACCAAAGTTCAGTGACACAAGAGCAAGGGAAGGCAAAGGGCCCCTCTGTCTCTCCTGAGGACACGGTCGGAAGGAGGGATTGGTTTAGCAACTGTGGCATTCTTTACTGCTCTAATTCAGAATCACGGAATATTCTGAGCTGGAAGGAACCCACAAGGATCACCAAGTCCAGCTCGAGCAGATGGCCCATACAGGGATCACACCCACAACCTTCATGGTAGCATCATGCTCTGGCCAATTGAGCTAAATGGAATTCAAAAGCAATTAGGCTGTAACATGCCTTAGAAATAAAAACGTCTTTCAGTGCTGGGTGTGCTTACTGCAAAGAAAAGGTCGGGGCTGTTCATTTTAAAGCTTTACCAACTATCCTGAGCACTCCTCCAGGCACCCGCGGCAGGACACAGCAGACTTTGTCGGCAGAAGGCAATACTGACTTCTCCCATGAGAGGGAGGCCAAGAACCTTTAGTATCCTTGAGTGGAACTTGAGCTACTTGTTCCTCGAGAATAGGCAAAACATCTTCCCTCTTTATGCCTCTCTGGATCTGCTGCTCATCCCACAGCAGTCCGAGCTTGTCTTCGCTGTGGCAGCTCCACCTGTAAAGAACAGAGGCAGCAGGGATGGGCCCTGCAGCCAAGCTGTGATATTGAGAGTCAGGATGTTTCCCTGTACCAGAGATTTTACTATACCACAGCCATAGTCACCCATCACAGTGATCCATTTCATAATGGCCTTCATCCTTGTGTCCTGAATGGTCACAGATTGGTTTAGATTGGATCGAAGGTGATTAAAAGGCTCTGGGTGGGCAGGTGAAGGGTTCAGGGCCTTTGGTGTGTTCCTGGCTGCAGAATCCTGACTGCAATTCCAATGGGGACATCTGGAGATAAATGCATGGCTGCACAGTTGATATTGCCAGAAGGGCTCTGTTGCCTAAACTGGTGGGTCAGGTGCCAGGAGCAGGAAAGGATGGGGCCCACCTTCCTGAGAATGGGAGCAGCTCTGTGTTCCCTGATTGACCAGCTTCAGACAACACATTTCTGAGACAAAGGCAAACCCGTCCCTGGGATTGTTTTTGCTCAAGGACATGGGTGCACCAGGTGAGTAATGCAGGACAGGGAAACATGATATGTACCTCAAGGAGATTTGATTTCTGGGTGAGAACAGTCTGTAATGTTGAGTTTCATATGTCATATTGGTTGTTGAATGACAACAATGTCATAGCTGCCCTGAACAGTGAGTATGGACTGCTCCAGATACACCAGCCATGGAGTAACTGAACTCAACAGATTCATCTTGGTGAGGATGGCCAGTGACTACTGAAATAATAGCTGTGCTTGTGTAGAGTTATATGAATATATATGTATATAACATAGTTGGGAAGTATAAGATCTGGGCATGATGTAAACGGTACAGAATAAGGGGTGGATGATGTCCTGCTTGCAGAGAGAAGGGCACATCAGGAAAAAATGCAGACAAACCACTCTCACGTCCTGGTGTGGCACAATGTTTTAGGAATAAAGTGATAAGTAACAGATGTCACATATGTTGACTTTAGGAAGGCTTTTAACATTGGCTGTCCTGACCCCTTCTTAAGAAGATATAAGGGCATGGTGAATGTAAAACTGGTGAGATCATTGTACCACAAGTGCTAATTATCAGTGTTTGTCAAAATGGAAGAACATATTCAGAGGATTTTTGCAAGGGTCCGTTCTGATGCCAGATCTTTTTAATTACTTCAGTTAACAGCCTGGATGGTTAACACCCATGACTGCCTTATTAAAACTGCTAATTACTCCAGACTGTTGAGGACAGCAAAGACAATGGGATTCAGCACTAGATGGAGAAATGGCCTGCAATTCAACAGGTACAACTTCCAGCATTACTTTTATGAGCAGCGAGCAACACACGTTCAGGTGAGGGAACTGGGTGGATGCAGTTTTCAAAAAAAAAAACCCTCAGTAACCCAAAAAACACCCCCCCCCCCAAAAAAAAAAAAAAAAAGTCTACAGTGTAATGGAGAGCAAACTGAACACCAGCAATGGAAAAGGCAAACATCATCCTGGAGCATGTGAGCTGTAGCCTCAAAGGCAAGCTGGCATAGTATGCCTAGCTAAGGATGCTGCGCTTCAAAAAATGCAGATGGACAGAGAAAAAAAAATCAAAGGAGGTCAGTGAGGGTGCTGGGAGGCATAGGAAACATGGAGAAAGGCTGAAGGAAATGAATTGCTGTAATGTGTAGAAGAGAAAGCTGAGGCAAGGACAAGAAGGGAAACATTGCAGCTCATCATTGCACATCAAGTGCCCAGGGGGTCATTTTGAACAAGGCTATGGCCATAGTGAACAGGGCAGGATATAAAGGATTTGAAATTTTAAGAAACCCCTGAAGTTAGGCTTTTGGATCATGTTAGGATGTGTGCCAGAACAGATTGCTAGGGAATGGCACAATCCCCATCACTGGAGGTCTTTAAGGAAAGATTTCACAAACATGTCAGAACAGGTATTGTTGATCCTCCTAGATTTGCAGTGAGGGAAAAGTATGACTTTAGCTAATTGTAAGCAAACACATGTAGGTGGCACACAGCAGAAGTGGAAGTCAGTGTTTGCCAGTAGGCACTAGGTTTCTGCATCAAAGCCTGCAAGGTGCCAACCCTGGCCCTGCCCTCAGGGGTTAATGCAGAAGAGAAGGCTTAAGCAAAACAGGGAAGAGAAAGGAAGGATAGGGAACTAGGGAAGGGAATGTTTTTTGTGTCAGGACTCAGCACAAAGGGTGATGGTTTGCAGTTCCTGGAGGCACTTCCAGTGTGTGTTCAGGGCTGTATTATCACCTCCATGGTAACCTGGGCAATGGAGCAGCAGGGAGAGTCCTCGTACTTCTAGTATATGGGATGTCCAGCTCTTTCCTCAGCCCATCTCCATTCAGAAAAAGCGTCAATATCGTTTGTACTACAAAGATGAGTACACGAGGCCTCCTGTAGGTGAAGGGACTCCCCTAGGTCATTCAGCAGGCTGGAGAGGGACCACAGTGAAATTGGGGCAACAATTTCACTG